GAATCAATCATAAGGTACTCCTACTTTGACACGCTTTTATATTGGAGGTAAATTTCGCCAATCTGAACAAAATGTTAGCTACAGTTATTCTAAGGGTACTAATTTAAAGATCTGTTTCAGTGAAGTTTTTCAAACAATAACTGATTCCTCTTACTCCGAAATAAAGTAGTTTTTGTTGCACAATGATGTTTATTTCTTTTTAAATTGTGGAAAATACTCATTGGAATAATAAATTGAAAAGAACAAGAAGTTCAGCTGAACTTATTTTTCTTTTAAATCTAATATTTCTTTTTAGTTCAGAAAATTGTTGTCTATATCATTCAAGGGACATTTTCTGAACTTATTCCAATGGCTGCTTCGATTTAATTAAATTAAACTAAAAAATGTCCACTATTCACAAAAATAAACAAAATAAAGCAAATTGCGCTTATAGGTTGCTTATTTGTAGACTAAATTAATCAGATTTAATTACATTTTAATTTAAGCCAAAGTTATTAAATTCGTTTATTACAATTTCAAGTGGTCATTTCTGCGAGGAAATAAAGATAATTCTACTAGGTGGAATAGTAGAATGGAAGGTAGGATGTCAGTAAGCTCCGTATGCTTCACTAATCACTTCAAAAGGAGTAAATTACGAACATGATTTAACATTAAAATGTACGCGAATGTACGGCTTACAAAAAGTGCACAAACAAGATGTCCCACTCTGCCCAATACTAGATATGATCGATTCCCCATATCATTCAATCGCGAAATGGCTGGTGGAGATTCTCGGGCTGGTGAAAGAGAAGCTGTCAAGACACAACCTCCATGACATATTCGACTTTGTTGATTCAATAAAGAATGTCAATGTGGCAGAAAAGTAAATGGTCTTCTTGCATGTTGTCTCTCTTTTCACCAACGTTCCGTTGACAGGATCCGTATGTTTCCTTTTGTGACTGCATTCAATCCAATAGCATCGATGTCGGTATAGCGATCCATTACCAGAAAGAACTGTTACTTCGATGCACCTTCAACTTTAGTTTCAACAAGGAAATATACAGGCAAGTAGATGGATTAGCAATTGGTTCTCCCTTAGGACCCCTCCTAGCTGACTGCTTTATGGCTAGCTTAGAAAACAACCCCTTATCACCAACTATCAACAACCTCCATCTCTACAAGAGATACATCGATGATACTTCCATTATTTGTGATGAGAATTGTGATCTAAAAACCTAATTCAAATCTCCAATAACACCCACCCAAACATCGACTTCACACTTGAGACTGAATCCGACGGAATGTTTCACTTCCTCGACGTCCATCTGACAAGAAACGCCAACAACTCTCTGAAAAGGTTCATATACAAGAAACCTACATGGAATGGACAATTCATCAACTTTCAAAGCTTCGTGCCCCTAAGCAGAAAGAGGAACCTGATATACGCTTTTTCCTCAAGGATTCAGAAGATATGCAAAGAGGAAGTGGTTGAAGAAGAACTGAGTAATCTCGGAAAACCCTGATAGAAAACGTTTCCCCGCCTAGATTCATAGACAAGAATCTCAAATCTAAGAAGACTTCCGAACAAGTCCAATCCGTTCCAAAGAAAATACTTCTGCTTAATCTGGAGTTCAAATATGATATTGAAGCGGAAATCCTTCGTAAACGCCTCTGTAAATCGCTGAGAAAAACATACTTCGCCGCGAGCCTACGACTGACGTTTTCCTGCAAGAAACTGTTCAGCCCGAACGCGAAAGACAGGCTGTCGCATTGGGCCACCTCAACGTGCATATACAAGTTTACCTGCTCTAGTGGAGCTGAGTACATTGGCCGTACCATGCGCCGACTTTAAAAACGCGCTCGTGAACACTACCCAGTCTGGTTAGTAAAAGGAGACCCAAAGCGTGTATACAGTTGAGTGACAGAACATCTGGTCAATTCAGGATATTCAACGCCTTTCGAAAATCCTTCAAAGTAATATACAAGATTCAATCAAACCTATCAAAGGGAGTGAAATCAAGACATCTGGGCATAGCCGAGGCGCTAGCTATCCAAAAGAAATACGTCCAACCCCTTTCCCTCCCATGGCCATCATAAACAGGTAATTTTTTAGTAATGAGTATCCCATCGCCTTTCTTATCTAAACTTCCCGTTTATTCATGTTATTTTTAAGTCTTTCTTAATCCCTGTTTACACTACCATATTTTCATACCCGAACTTCGTGTTTATTTTGTCATTTTACTATTTCCACACATTTAATCCCTGACTGCATAAACAATTATTCACCACATTAGTTCTTATCCAAACATCCTGTCTATTTTGTTATTTCTACATTTCTAACCCCTAATTGCACAATGTCAATCTTCTTAGCTATCATGATGCTACTTTGTTTGTTTTATCCATCCCCCTATTTATTATGGCATTCTAATTCCTAATTTTAATTTTTACTAATTTGACCCTTGACCGGATATTATTCTGGAACTTTCTCATCCATTTGATATAAATACACGAATATACAGCCTAAATGATGACTTAGTCGAAAAGAAAATTCCCTTCGCTGCAATTGTCTTCTTAATAACATTAAAATGATAGAAGAAATGAATTCATTAGAATCATTAGTTCATACAGACTATAAAACATGGTCTTTTCAGTGTTAACGAGTACCATACATGTGTTTGAATGAAATCGAGAAGTCTTTTGAATGAATCTTTGAATTTCTGTTTGTTTGCACACTTTTGGTTAATAAGTTCACGCAGGTAAGATACACTCATATAGTTCAACTAGTGTGAGATAAAGTAATGAGGTATAAAATCTACCTTAGGAAAAGAAGATCATTCAGTTGAGGAACGATAAACTACGCTTCCTCACAGTAATATCTGCAAAACTAAGAGGGTAGAAAAAGTTCGAGAAAGTATACTGAAGTCAACGTTTTTTTGCAGTATTGACATGATCTGTGTGAATACTAATTGAATCTGAGGTACGGTAAAATTTATGCAACTAGTCAAAGCGTAGAAAATGCATTCGTCATTAAATCAGTAAGCATTAATAGAACACTCTGTTCACAACAAAGGTCATTATGTTGTGTGAATGAAAAAAGATGTCAGCAAAATAAAATAAATTCATTTTATTTCAAGATATCAACTAATCAACAAATGTATTAAGAGCCCCAACAAGTAGATAATCGAAAAACTTTCACTGTTCTATGTGAAATTAATGTTCAAATTCAAGAAACTCCTAGATCTATCCACCATAAATTTGCTCACTCTTTTTGATGAACTGTTAAACATACATTATATTTTTTGGACGTGTTCCTAAAAGTCATCACACGCACAAGTGTATCATGTTCTTTTAGGTATGCATATCATCCATCCTTGGACTTGTCAATCAAACTGGTTAAAGGGCGAAGTTGCCTAGAGTTCTAGTGAGAAGTCATGACCAGTGGAGTCCATCCGGTTGAGAGTGAGGACAAATACTCGCCAAACATGACACTGGTTGGTGGTCGCGCTAAAATCGCGAATTGGTAAAAGTTAGAATTCATGGGTCATTTGATTCCTTCTCAGTAGTTGAATGGTCAACAAGCTTGACTTGTAGCCTGGGAGTCCCAGGCTCAATCCTCGGTGGGACGATGGGTACGTACTCATGAAGAGTACCAAACTAGAACGAGCCACTTGTCCTGTACTACCTGGTTCCCAGTGGTTAAACATGAAACAAATCAAACCCTAAAACCTAACTCTTTTTTGTTTTTAGAGTCTACTCATGTTTAGACCTGGCTGGAGATTTGTGGTCATACATGCAGCTTTTAGTTTAAAAATACATCACACTCTTTTTATTCTGGTGAAAGCATTCTTTTTGTAAAGGGATTATAAAAAAACTATGAAATGATATCATCTCGCGATATTTGTTTTCTAAATGCCTTATTATTGTTATTATAATTATTATTGTTTTTATGTAAATTTAACCTTTCTCTCTGACACCCTGTAACATTACTGACATAACGTCGGTGAATCGGACCGATGAGCTAACACACGAACTATGTACAGGTGCCATGTAGTCATGACTCTATCTGTGCTTATGAAGAAGCTCTAAATATGTTTCATTTACACTATTAATTTTTATTTTATTCCTTTTTACTCCTAAGTGTAACATGGGACTTCAAGTTTGAGCTTTAAAATTTCATTAGAAGTGGGGTTTCTTTTCACGGGTTAAGTTTGCTGATCCTAAACCCAACCTTCCCTATTTACTGGCTAGGCAAGGTTTAGGATTGCATCGGCCGAGGTTCGAACTCGAATCAAGTGCATGACTGGCGAGTATTTTCCCACTGAACCATTGACATACAATACCTTTACGATGAGAACTTTATCATGAAATTAAACTAATTTGTGAACAAAACTCTATATAAAATAATAAAACCGAAAAGTTATTCCAGTTTGGCAATTACCGGATTCTGTAGTGCAACAAGCACCTCGTTTACTTTGCTTCGCAGTCTTTTAGGAAAACATACCTTTGACTCTATAATGGACGGAACTAACTACAGTCACATTTCTTAAGCAGCTTGGTAGAAAATTCCGCCACTACGTAATAATCTAACAGTTAACACCTTGAACTCTGATTAGCTGGCGAAATAATTTTTCTATCATTAATATCAGTATCTGTCCTCACAGCCATCTTAGTTACTTGTACAGGTTATTCGCTTTCTAAGCATCTATCGTAATGCCGATTGTATTAAATGACTTCCTAAGAATCAGGTCTGTGGAGTGAAATTTTGAGACTGGTATTAGGAAGAGTTGGTAAAAATGAAAACAACCACCAACTGTTTATACCGATAGTAATTATTCTAGAAAGGGAACACCCTTCTGTATTAAGTAGGATAATAAAAATTAACTACGTTGAAATGGGGTGTTCACCTGGCCATCACTGAGTTTAATAACTAAGTACAATTTTATGGTATGTAAATGAATTGTTACAAATAGTTTTAATTAACTGAAATCAGAATATGTAACATAAAAAGTATGACAACTTACCCTGATGAGATGAAATCGGATTTTTAATGGTAAGTTGAGTTATAAACAGATCATTAGTGCTCAATAATCTTTGCTCACTGGACGATTGACACCAATTCTGAAATAAATTTATACGAAAATGGAAAAAGTACATTTAATGATTCTGAGAAGAAGGGAACGAAGCTGCGAAACAATAGATTCAATGAAGAATACGCAAAACATAACAATTCACTTCTTTTGTGTTGAACGGAATAAAAATTTTATTAAAATCCCGACCAATTTTCAGTCTATCAGTCGATAAAAAAACATACTGCTTGTTTAATACGCATGTATTGCTTTTGTAGGGATTTTGTTTGATTGCATGGAGGATTTAATCATGAGCTGACATCAGTTAGAGAACCACTGGAAAACCTAGGAGTACTGGACAGCTGTTTCGTCCTAGTTTGGGACTCTTCAGCAGTGCGCACCCACCGGGATTCGAACCCAGGACCTTCTGGTCACAAGGCGAGCTCGTATACCATTGAGCCACTGGGACCTGATCCAATGGTCCTTGAATTCTAACTTCTGCCAATTCACGACATAGCGCGACCACTTCGTAATGTCTTCTTCGATGAGTTACTGCCTCATCTTCAACCTGCTCATGTGTTTAGTATCATCAGTATCTATTTACCTGAAATGAAGGTGCATCAGTTCAATTTGTCATAATCTACAAAAAAATCTAATAAAATCGGTCAGCAAATGAGAAATAGTAACCAAATGAAGACAGACGAAATCTTTTAGGATCCAGAAGTTAAGAAGGAGTGACTACATCTGCACGATTCAGAAAACTTTCAAGACATTTCATCAGTAGTTGTCTCCAAACACTGATTTATAGTATCCTGATAACATCAGCCAGTCAGTCTGCATTTCCCTGTGACTCAAACCAACAGTCTGCTTCCCTACTGTAAGGTTCAGAAGCAAAATGATCATCAAATCTTATACCTAGATTAAAGCATTACTAAGGGTTCCGAATACTTCTCTTAACTTTGTTTCATGTTGTTTAATTACTGAATTAGGTTAGGTTAGAAATTCAATTGTATAAAACTCAATTATTTCTGATATCCTTAATCAGTAAACTAAATTTTGGACGAATTTAAGTTATAAAACTAATTTATCAATTTTCCTCTTACATTTGAGAAAATTTGTAAAAGCATGATGCTTGAAATTGAGATTTTAGCAGTAAAACTAGGATAAAGAGACAAATTCCACAAGATCGAAGCTTTTATTGACCATATATCTCGTCTTTGAGACAGATGTTATGAAGTATTGGCATTTCATAGAAGTGGTGTCGATAACTAAATTGATAGAGGCTTTACGATTACTACAACTATTTGAGACTAAACTGAAAACAGGATGCTCAATGAGGGAAGTTTATTGAGAAACTGGACACCTGAGATTTCAGTAGTGTCTGATTCCCAATATGTTATACATTAGTAAAAGGTGAAATCGAAATTTACGTCCTAGGAACACACAAAAGATTTCCAAAACTAATAACCATATCGAACTATGAGGCCAAGCTTCTGATTATGTCTTCACTTCACTGCAGTTACCAGGTATTTTCTCAGTTGATGTACCAACGAGTGGCACTTGACTATCCGTTATGTCAGTTTTTACATCTCACTTTTAACCATCTTGAACTGGACAGGGAAAGCAAGTTGTCAGCTGTTCATCATAGAGTAATAAGAACTAAGACGAGGATTCAGGATTGAAGCTGAACGAAAAAGCTTTGAAGGAATTTAGAAGTATCACTTATGATTTTCGAAGCGGGTAAAATCTTATACAAAGCTTTATGAAGAAACTTGACAGGAAAATTCAGTCAGAATGCACAAAAATGATCATTGGTGTTGCTTTGTTGTATCGAACATTCTTTGAGAAACAATGTAAAGGGAGAAAAGAACACTTTTCCCTAAAACTATGTGTTAGTGTCTTACCTAAATTTTATTTTGAAAACACCAACAGGGTGAGTACATTAAAATAAGTTGAAACGTATGCATCTTTGAATAATGTAACAATTAAGAACTACCTCGAAGATACTATCTTAGTAAAAAGCAAACTTTCTTTTAAAACACAAAATGGATATCCTTCCAAAATTTGTCATCATAATTTCAACGTACTTTCTTTAAAAATGTTGTCAACTTTTCTTTGGAGCTTTAAGTGATAAAAATCAATACTTTAACCCCAGGTAAATGTTGTTTTGGAGATAGCTTTCATCATAGTTCAATACCCGGTGAACTGTTGCTTACGGTTATGTGCCAACATATGAGTGTATCAAAGTACTCCGATGCAAATAGTTCAGAAGACTTTCTGTATTATTTGTATAATCGTAAAATACAACGATGGCGACATCTGTCGCTGTTCCATTAGTACAATCCGAATGTGATTCTAGGGTAATAATATTCAAATATAACTTATTTTTACCATCATAACCAAATATATTCAACCCTTAATACTTACTGATAATCTTCAGTTGTTCAGGGTGTATCAGTCTCCTACATCAAAGCTGATATTCAGAGAAGATTATCATATAAAGAAACAAATTTTGTGTCAATAAATAAACGCCCATCTGAATATGAATTTACTTTAAAAACTATTCTAACTCCATAAATTTAGCAGAAAGCTAGTAACTGATATGGAGCACACTGAAGTGTCTATTCCCTGATTCTTAAACGATTTTATATTACGCAGTTACTGTTTTAAATTACACTCGTATCTTTGTTCGGCTGTGATTAATAAATCGAGTCTGAACCACCCTTTTCAGAATACAAATAATACTGTACCACAGTGGGCCAATACAGAAAGAGAATAAATTCTGTTGAAATCGTGTGACCGTTCGGTGAAATTCAAGCCAGGTATAATGCATTGGATAAAAGATATAGCTGCATGGGAAGTCATTCCAATGTGTTTGAGACAGATTTTACTAACACAGCACTTCCTTTTGAAAGCACCACTCACTTCATGTAACTTAGTACGAGACCGAATAAGTTTATTGAGCTTTTGATCACAATTTAGGATCTCATAAACATTTATCAGACACTAAGAAGTAGGAGACAATCTGCTCTCATTGTAGCTATGAAACAAAAATGCTAGGGTAAGCAAGTTTCCTAAACATCAGAAAATCTTCAGAAGCCTGATATTAGCTAGCATTCATAAACAAATCTAGCTAAACAGATACTTGTTGCAAATGATGGTTATCAAAGAATGAAAATCAGCTGACAAGAATGGTCACCCTTGCATAAAGCGTATAACTGCGAAGTTAACACAAATAAAAACCAAGTTAAAAAAAAATGTGAATTATTAACCGAATGGTAAATATCACAGAAATCATAGACTGAAGAAATAATTAATGTGACACTTTGATCAGAATACTGTTTAACCGTCGCCCTACTTCAGATTGAAGATGGCTGAACTATTAAAATAGTAGATAATTTTTATGTATGTAATCTAGCTATCATGAATAGACACAATGAAGTAAGCACTGAATTATACTGTGGCAGTTAATTAGAATGCCTTTCAACTGCAGCCTTTTAGGTGTAAAGTGTTAGCGGGAAAGATGTTTTGAGCAGTTATTCCAACAGTAGTCAAATCATACAAATTTGTAATGCTTTCCAGTGAAATATACATCTGCCAAAATTAAGATGGGTACTCTTTGGAAACTACGTGAATCATGAGTATTTGTCGCGAACTTAGATTACCGTTTCTTAATATCATTAGACATTAGGCAGGATACAAATTCTATGTTGTAGATTCATAACTGGGATAATTCTATCTACCTCTAAAATTTTGCTTTGGAGCAGAACCAAGAAATATTTTTTAGTCTTCCTTAAATTTGGTTTTTGACTTTACCTACAGATAGACAGAGGTTGAAGAGTCCCAAACTAGAACGAAACAGCTATCCAGTACTCCCAAGTTTCCCAATGGTTCTCTAACTAATGCAGCTCATGATGAAATCCTGAAACCAATAAAATCCCTAAAAACCAACACTTGAATAAACAGAGGTTGATCGGATATAATGTTTTTAGTTACATTAGTAAGAATAACTGAATCCTATGTGTTCCTGCATATAATATATCGAGTTACCCCTAAAAATACTCATTTTATCCGATTTCCGTGTATATTTTCTCATTTATTCGAAATTAGCACAAGTTATCATCTAGGTGAGTAAAACAAACTGGGAGAAAGACGATATTTACTGTTCTTCTAAGCATATGATTTAAAAATCTTAGTTTAGCCTCTTTAAGCAGTGTTCAAATATCTTACTTGAAGAATACAGCTAAGGTGAGTTCCACAGGTTGACCTTGAGAATGACCTTACATACTTATTATAATACAGGAAAGCTTTCATGTGATAAACACTCATTGATTAAATAAAATGGTTTCGTTTCACTCCGTGTTTTATTGTCACAGGAAAGCATTGCAGAATAACACCCAAATGCGTAAAGTGAATGAAAGGGAAGTATCTTTGCTTCATTAAGGTTATTTCCTATTATAGTTTCGCCTTGCAGAATTAAATGTTATTCACAGAATCCAATTCTTTTGTTCTTGGTATCCATGGTTAGCTTTATAAGAACTTAAGATTACACCTTTTCATAGTTTTTTATAATGCATAAAAAATTGTTTTTTTACTTTACACGTTCCTTTTCATTCATTTATTAGTCTCAATTGGATAGTAAATTACTGAACAATGGCTGTAGGTAATCATTATGTTGCTATGCACACAATATGCTATTTGGACAAGTATCATCTTTGGTATTCTTTAGGCATCATCATCTGGTTGCACTTTTCGCTTTTCAGAAAGCTCTAGTATTTCTGACGGCAAATAAATTAAGAATTCACAATTGTATTTAGAGTAGGATTGGTTTGACGGATAAATGTAGTGAATTCGTCACTGAATCAATAGATTGACTTAATGTCTTTAATCAGTAATATAAATATCTGATGTCCGAAAACCATCAAAGTTAAATCTATTTCTTATTGGCATCAAAGTCATCACAAGCCTATTTATTGTCATGTAACACTTACCCGTAGCGTGTTTTCAAAATAACCATTCACTGAATCGTTTAATGAAGGGATTAGACAAATGTAATACACAACATTTTGTTGTGCAATAATCTGATGAACAAAGAACTCTTCATTTCTCTGGTTATGCGAACTAGTTCTGTTCTCGTTGTCAGTAATAAGACCACTGACAAATATCGTTTGATTATTATATGAAGCAAGCATTTGTTCATCTGTAGCGTGACATCTAAAAAGTGAGGGAGTATTTTTGATAAGTTCATAACAAAAATTGTACAGTTTCAAGTGTAAGTTAAATAGCAGATATATATACATATATATATTCCCTTGTGTTCTCAGTGGAACATAGGGCTTCAAGCTAGAGCTTTGAAGTTTCCGTAGAAGTGGTTTTTATTTTTACGGTGTGGGATTGCTAGTCTCAGGTCCAGCCTTCTATCTTTGCCTGGCTTATTACTGACTAAGCGAGACTTAGGAGTGTGTGGGTCGGGGATCGAAACCCGGACCAGCTAAGTGGCTGGCGAGCATTCTAACTCTGCGCCACCAACGCACCATATATATATATATATATATATATATATATATATATATATATACGTAGTGGTAATGAGGAAGCAAAAGAAAAAATTTCGGACACTGAAAGTAAGCGAGCAAACACGTTTGCGTACCCTAAAACAGGTATGTTATCTGCCATATGTTTTGCATGAAAATCGGCTTTTAAATTGACATAAATTGTTAAGTAGAGTTGAGGTAAAAGAAAAGAAGTCAAGAACCGCAATACCAAACAACTGAATTGATTGAAAAGTTCATTTAATAGTAGCCTGAGTTTTACCAAACAATATAGCTGAACTAACTGGGTATCCTCATCACATTGGCTTCCGACTGTTACATGTCCTCCGTGAAACAACTCAAAATAAACTATGATGAATCAGATAGTTTCATATTTTCAAAATTCTGAATATATTAAAACCTTTGTTTATTCTGCATCATGTCTTACTTATTTTAAAGCTGTTTCGTTTCCGTTTTTCACTTTTCCATTGACATTGTGACTTTCTCGGTAATTCTACCTGTTCTATGAATGAATGTGATTGTGTTATTCAATAGTGGCTGGAGGAGGCATACAGTTTATAACTCATGGATAAGACTAAAGCATAGTCCATTATTTCTGTGCAGGCTACTACGAAAATTATATTAAGACTTATCAAGTGATAATATCGAAATTTTCGCTAAAGGAGGTGGTTATTTTAGCTTTATATATCAGGAACACATAATTTCAACCTCTTAAATGAGTGATAAGTATAATATGGCATAGAGGATAAATTCCCATTCAAATATCTGCTAAAATAATTGTTAATTTGCAGTGGAACGTCCCAACATTCGGTCTAGCAGGAGGAATAATCTATAATCTGAGCTTGTTTTTTCTTACCTAAAGCAGTTTATTTATAATTTGAACATCTTTAGCATTCCACAATTAATTAAAGCTAAACATAAGCTTCTATGATGGTATCCAATTTCCTGTAGTTTCTAAGTTCGCTAATGATGAGACTAGAAAGTTAGCAAAAGTATTTATATTACCTTTGATTCCAAATTACTTCTGGTGTTTCATCTGGAATTTCTTGTCGGTAGTGAACTGATTTGTGTTGACTAGTTTGCATGATGTTTATATTTCTTGTAGAAGCAATAAATGTTCAGTGAGCTTATTATGGATTCATGAATGGAAGCAGGGGATGAAAAGTGGAAACTTCTAACCTATTTGTTAGTTTGACAGATACTATCTAATGTTATCAGTATCGAATCAGTTTATATTTTGTAGTATATCCTTAATAAGAAGTGGTTTTATGATGAAGGACTGAGCATTAGTAAAACGTTATTATGAAAATATTGCTGTTTCGTATTATTTAAACTTCCTTCTAACTTTTAATACGTTATGAACAACCTTTCATGAGGCTATGATTTCAGGTCTTTCAGCACTTATTCTGCGCCAAATAGTAAAAAGATCACTTCAAAAGGTTATGTCAAGCAAAAATCAAATTTGACAAAGTAATATATCTACTGGAACATACAGAAATCCCTCTGAAGATGATAATCACCAGATAAAAGTTTAACCTTATTTCTAAATAGTACTACTTTTTCTTAAAAGCGTCACTAGGAAAATATAGGCAGGAATGCATTCAATCTAACTAAAAGAATTCAAGTTAATATTTACTTTCCACAAAGTTTAACTACATTCACTTACTCAGTTTTGATAGCCAACAAGTAAGACAGAGATTAACATTGAAGACATCCAAATTTCCCCCTCATAAACTTATTTCCACCCGCTTTTTATAACAGTCCTTGAATGTGCTTTTTCACAAGTACTATGAAGAATAACTGATGGGGTATTAGTAGTAGACCAAATTTGTGTTGTCAACAGATATTCATGCACTCCAGAATTCACTAATCATCCTATGTAATGTTTCCGTTTTCGGTTTACAAGACCTTATTCATCCAACAGGTCAAAGTCCACAAGAGTATCCGATATACTGTTTTCATTCCTTATCCTTATTGTAAGGCCTCCAACCACAGAGTGATCGACTTCGTCACAGTAGTCATCAGTTGAAAGTATGCCATTTTTTTAGGAAAATGTATTTCCCTTCCGACATCCCAACCCGCGTTAAAAATTTTGAACTGTGAGGGGCCATTGCACACATATACTGTTGTATAATATGAAAGGGTAATATTCATCTAAAAGCTCTTAAGTCTGTGTGGAGGCCAACCTCACTCAGAATCAAAAATAACATCCGGATTTTCAACTCCAATGTGAAGTCAGTGCTATTATACGGATCAGAGACTTGGCCAACGCGTCATAAAGAGCATCTCAAACAAACTACAGACCTTCATTAACAGCTGTCTCCGCTCAATACTCAAGATCAGATGGCCGGCCAGAAAAGACCAGCAACAGGGATCTCTGGCAATGAGCGAACCAACACAGCAGGAATCGATTGTGAAACAAATAGGCAGGAAGAAATGGAGATGGATTGGCCATAGGCTGAGGAAACCATCAAGTGACATCACTAGACATCACTCGAGTGGGACCCGAAAGGGAAGCGGCGAGTTGGTCGTCAGTGCAAGGGTGACTTGGAGGAGGTCATGTGAAGAGGAGATGAAAGCATGTGGACAGACTTGGAGCGGGGTGAAAAAGTTGTCAGAAAACAGAAGGCAATGGAGGTGCGCAGCTGAAGCCCTATGTTCCTCTAGGAATTAAAGGATATAATAATAATAAAAGCTAGTTGTCTTGTACAGAGACTAGATCGACCACCTGTTTAGTTTTGTAAGTAATATCAAATAAATTCCCACAGACTACCAATGGTTTATCTCAGTTCAACGATAACTTTTCCGGTATATAAAAATATTTTTGGATAACTATTTCACTCTAGGAAGAGATGACTAAAAGATGTATGTATACCAAATATTTGTGCGAACATGTCAACAGAAATAGAACATAGTCTTAGCCTATCTTTATAATGAATCCTATTCTCATCAAAACGTTTAGTCGTTCACTACTATTTCTATCAAATAGTTTTCAGACATGATTTAAAAGCAGATAGTTAGATTTCCTCTTGATAATCCTAAAAACACTTATAACTCAGAGGAAACGAAAGATTTGTCTTTCTGAAAAGTGTCCCACGAATGATAATTTCAGACTTTGTTATCGTGCTCACGAAGAAGAAGAAAAATACTCATTGATAATATTGAGTTGTAATCTTTGGCAGTAAATACAGTTGCCTAAGCCTCACGTTTGACGACCCATTATACCTTTCCTGGATCACAAGTAGAATAAATGGTTTCAGCAACACATTTCCATTCTACTCTGTTTTCTGCTTTGTTTCTTAACTGGCTTCCATGTACAAGTACTGACTTAATATTTGTGCGAAAAATTCAGATATTGTTTCTGGTATTGAATATTTTAGGTCTCAAGACTGATTTCAAAGTAATAAACGCCTATTTCACTTTCCTTCTCGACACTGACAGGCTCTAACACCGTTGTTCATGTCGCCTGTATGTAGCTGAAACGATACTGCTGAGGTAGCTAGAAGGTGTCACATTCATTAGATTTCTCCAGCTTATGATAATTGGTGTTCGTTGGTGTTTTCCGTCATGTATCCTTATCACCTCTGTCTTCTGTATGTCCGCCTGAAATCTTGTCTTTACTGTCTATTATGTCAGCTTGTTGATTTAAGCATGTAGATCTTTGATCTTATCTGGCGTGAAGCATGAATCATCTGCGAAATTCATATTTTCTAGAGTCTTTTTATCAGTTCACTGTATCTCCGTCTTTTCACTCCCTACCTCCTGTTGCATGATGTAATCCACTACAACCAGAAGATCACTGGTGACAGTAGGCATCATTACATTATTCCTGTCTTCACTCCGAACGCTTCGATGAGCTTTCTGTTGTAAATTACCTGGTAAGTGGCATCACCATATAATTAAAGTACACAAATGTTTGCATCATTCCGTACTGTTGAGGCAGTTTCCTGATTTCTTCCCAGTTAATGGTGCTGAAGCCCTTTTTAAAGTTGATAAATTCGAGGTAAACAATCGACTGACATTCTTGGCAATTTTAAACGGCGATGTGCATTTTTGTAATTCGATCAGCGTATGACATTTTTCCAATGTATTCCTGGAGGAGTTTTTCATCTAGGGTATTTTTTTAGTTTTTCCAGGATGAGATGGGTTGAATATATGCTATTTAAATAGGAGTGGATTCGATGCAAACAAAGTGATACTCTCAATGAATGTTCACTGTTAAATAAACAAAACAAAATATGCAGCACAAATTTTATCACTGCTCTTCATTGTGTGGTTTGATATGCTGGACAGGATGAGATAGGTGGGGTATATCATGATCTATAGACTTACTGACTGATTACTTTTAAGGCGTATGTGCCAAATATATAAAATATAAACCATATTTTCTCAATGCATATGCTTACTCATCAAATGTTTGATTCAACGACTGGATGAAAATAGAAGGAAATAAATCTGTTATTCCCAGTGACACTAATCCAAAGGACTCTAAAGCTTTTCAAGTCATTTTATCAACATTTTCCAAGGCACAACACCATCATTTTAATATTATTAAACTCGTAGCTATAATTCTTGTCGAATGTTTTGGATGCATTTAACACAACATTATATGTTAAGTTTATGTACGAACTGCTGTTCATTGAAACGATATTTCTGTATCGTCTCAGCGACTCATAGTTATTCAAATTACAAAAATACCTCAACCACCACCATAACAAAAACCAAAATATAATGTTTCGATTAACTTATAAGATACTAGACTAGAGTACCGCCTCTGATTGAATATAGTAGTTAAATTTACATGTATACTATTAATTTCAGATTGTAGTAAATTTTACCTAATATACCTAATATCCAATTATTCAACACAAAATTCGGTTTTCTCTGAGGATTTTGCATTGTATAGCAAGATGCTGTTTGCTTTCCAGATTAATGTAGTCACATTTATCTGTATGTGAATAATTTATATGTAGTGTTCATGTTTTGAATTATAATCTACCAAGGTCTGTAAACAAATGTGAATATTATATATAAATGTGAAACTGTACCAACTTACTTGAAGTGATAAAACGCGCTGTGTAGAAATGAAGAGGTTGACACCTTCCGAATAAGGTTTTCAGGATACTTCAAGCTTGCAGAAACACACATCTCTGTGCTTATGACAACTAAAAATAAAATATTGGGTAACCATAGTGTTATTACTGACCATTAAGCTGCTTCACCAAGATTCAATACAACATTGATATAAGTATAAAACTTGGGCACTGTGGTAGAGTATAACTCCATTACGGATAAGATTTTATATTAATAAATAACACTGCTGATGATGACGTTTCGAGTACAAATTATTGCTCATAATTATATCAATTATTTGTGTTCAAAACATCATCAGTTAATATAACTGTACAACACTGTGTGATTTATCAAAATAAAATCTTATCCATAATGGAGTTAATACAACATTCTTATCTTCATGCACAGTTAAACAATGAATTTGTGAAATACATGTTTAGCGAGATAATATACACAAATTATATACATTGATGACGGACCGTAAAGTGAATGACGAGGAAGAGTTCCGTTTTATACCGTTCCCCTTACCTGCAACTATCCCGAGCTATTTATTAATGAGAATGTCAAGTTCAATAGTCTAAATTTACTGTCCACCTAAAAATTGCCTGTGACTAAACAGTAGCTGAATACTTTGACCTTTATTCTAAGAAACTCTACTTCATATACCAAGTATCTCAAATGATGATATATTTTTAGCCCAAAATTATAGTAAAATGCACTATTTCACATGATTTTCTTATATTCTTCAGGATAAAAATACTTAAGGGAAACATTTCGATCATTTTACGATGAATAAATGTGCTTGTTATTATTAATATATGAGTATAAATTGGGCGCTGTGGTAGTAAGTAATTCCATATTACATGGAGGATTTAATCATGAGCTGACATCAGTTAGAGAACCACTGGAAAACCTAGGAGTACTGGACAGCTGTTTCGTCCTCGTTTGGGACTCTTCAGCAGTACGCACCCACCGGGATTCGAACCCAGGACCTTCTGGTTACAAGGCGAGCTCGTATACCATTGAGCCCAATGGTTTACGAGCTCGCCTTGTAACCAGAAGGTCCTGGGTTCGAATCCCGGTGGGTGCGTACTGCTGAAGAGTCCCAAACTAGGACGAAACAGCTGTCCAGTACTCCTAGGTTTTCCAGTGGTTCTCTAACTGATGTCAGCTCATGATTAAATCCTCCATGCAATCAAACAAAATCCTTACAAAACCAATACTTGTAAATTCCATGTTAGTTTGTTTATTAGATGTATTTTAGATGATTATTAGATGATTATGAACAATAAATTTTGTTCGAAACATTGTCATCCAGTAAGTAATACTGTTTCACTGTGTGATACATCTAATAAACAAACTAATATGGAATTGTAGTCAAGATTTGATAGAATAGTTCTACAATATTTGGGCGCCGAGTGAGAAGTAGACATTTGTAAAAATTATATTTGTAAAATCTCAGCGAACGTTGGAATTACTCATTTCAATATCGCTGAGATTTTACAAATATAATTTTTTACAAATGTCTAATATGGAATTGCTTTTTATTACACTATTTAAATGCGCACCAGCATTTTTTTCAATTTATTGAGAGTGTTTAATGTTTATTATTCTTCAGAATTCGTATTAATGACTTCTGTGTATCAGGTGTTATAGTCCGCTCTGCTAGTATTCGATCGTTTCTAAATACAACTGCAAACAGCCATTACACATTGTGTTTTCTGGTAAACGCTTAGGAACGAAATCAATAGGCTTTAAAATCCGCATAAATTTGTAAACAGAGGTGTAGGTTGTAAATAGTTTCTCTATCTACAGAGCCAAACATGAACGTCTTCTTTTCATTAAGAAAATTCCAACTAACATATATGGATGGCTGTGTTAGCCAAAACGTTTTTTTTCATTTTTCTAAATAACTATTAGACAATGTGAAATGTGAATGGTTATTGTTTTATTTTAACATGTACGTGTACTGCTTAGCTAGATAGATGTTTTTTCTATTACAATGTACACATACACATATTCAAAATTAAACACGAATAGTTAGAGATGATGTACTCCAAAAATGTTTAGCTGCAGTTAGGTAATCAAGTACATTTCCGAACCTACAGTGTAGCTATGAGCAAACCATCGAGGCTTACGGTCAATAGTATACCTTTCTATCTCATGAAACAAAAATCCTAATAACTGCAATAAAAGAAACAGAATTCTATGCCAGATACGTCTATGCAACTGGTTCATCGTTATAACATAACACTCAAGAGTTCTTGATAAAACGTTTACTTTGAAATAACATAAAGATTGGAAAATATGTTGTAGGTACATTTCCACTGAATATAATCATAACTTTTGCAGCTTTTACTCAATCGCGTACAATCAGTGGTCGGAAAACATTCTCTTCAGCAGATAAATTAGAATGGATACATGTATTGGAATAGTCCTCAGTAGAGACAAAATCTCCAATAAATTTAGCCAATACCCCAGAGATGTACTTTTCTTACTGTCAAATCTATCACACTGTATAAGATAAAGTGTTCAACAATACCAGGTCACTTAGATAAAACTCTGCCCCACTTAATCTCAAAGTTCGTATATCAGTGTATGTAGTTTTATTCAAATCACGGGAGACTAAAAAGATAGAATAACTGTTAGCTACTCATGAACACATTCGAGAACATGTACTATTTATAGTTACACATGTTTGATGCGTAATATAACGCTGATATTGCAAATACACTAGGGAATATAAGTAAGTAGTAAAATTCTACTCTATTGGATTTTTCTGAAACTTGAGTGATGTAATAAATAAAGTCTCATTTTAGTACTAAACAAGGTTCTGAGAAGATAACCTTAGTGGGATACTTTGAATATTTAAGCCTAATTGTCCTACTTCATTCTTACTTCATATTAGCACTTTCAACTCTTTTATTTCTCAAAACACTCAAAATGCTCATTGAATCATAAATAAAATAAAAGACAATTCAACGAAGAAAATTATCTTTGATAAGTATAAATACGACTATATAGCTTCTCAAGATGATTTCGTCCATAAAAAATTTCTTTATTGAATTGTACTTTATTTTGTTTTATATTTACTCATATAATCTTAGCTAATGGCTTTACTCCTCTGAGAAACTGGGTAGCCAACTATTACTTCCATTTTGGAATAATCAACATAATTTGTCACTCGGCCTGTGAAAATTTGAATTCTTACAATTTTATTCTTTTAACCCTATTTTTATTTTTCTATTTCTTCTATTTTTGATTACAGCTTGATTCCACACTGTATTTTTGGTACAAGTACGGAATTTTCAGCATGGATATCGGCAGCCCAAATTTTGCAGGCCGACCATAGATATCAGGTATGCGTCGGCCGGGGATCGAACCTCGGACAATTTGCATGGTCGGCGAGAGTCCTAACCACTATGCCATCGACACACCCTATAGGCTTATAGATCCCCATTCACTCTACTGATTTCTCATTAGTAACCTGTAAACATTGGACAAAACATACACGTGATACGTTACCGTCTTAATATCCGATGGTAAAAATAAGTGGTTTTTGTTAACCGAAGATCATTTTAGTATATTTGCCTACTGGAATGGATAGACTAGTCAACACAACTCACCTTTTTTATAATTAGACACAAGCTGTAAATGCACCAGTTCGCCTTCATTGATTTCTGTAACCAATTCATTATTGCTGTTCACGACCGATAACTGTTCCAAATTGTATTCATTTGATTGTGATGCTACTTCTTTGGTTAGTTTTCTTTAGAATAAAAATAATATACTGAGAGATATGAGTGTGAGTAAAAGCTAAGACAAAACAACTTAAAGATTCTGTGATACAAAATATTTGTTAACACTGTCTACTGAAATTGTTAGATATGAATTTAGTCATTATTGCTGTTTACAGGAAAGAAGTGTAAGTGGAGTTGTAGAAAACTTTTGGAATTTAATTTGTTTCATCGACTGTTTAGTGATCTGCCTGTGTTGAGATTTATGTTTTTTATCACCACGAAATTGAATCTGACGAGGGTTACCCACTTATTTCATACTGTTAACCTTCTTCCAATTTTGTTAGATTTAAAAGACTACAAAGCTCTCATAAAATATTTTCATTCATGTAATTAAGTAATGCAAGATTGTGGTAACCAACTGATAACTGGTTGATTATTAATGACAATGAAATATTACTCCACAATCACTTGCAGATTCATGAACTTGGCGGTGAGACATACCGGTTGTGTCAACTAGTAACCCTGAAAAATACCCTTCAGGAGATTAGAGAGAAAAAAACATGAAGGTCAGTACAGGTATCTTTTTGGCTATTTCATCCTCTTTAAGCCATCCACTACTTCTAGACAATATGAAAGACAAACTCCCACATACGACCACTCCGATATATACATACCAATTTTCCTGCTTCTGACGAGCCAGAGATATAGGTCGTTCTACACTCGTCATTTCGAAACGTGTAAGTAAACATTAACCAGAATGTCTAAAAAGAGGAAGCACTGGTTCAGTCAGAAGCGCCATAAATGAAAACTTCGTCAAAACCCGTCACAGGACCTCAGCTGATTCATTATTCATTGTTATTTACAAAGTAAATAAAAATCTACCAAAGGCAGTGTGTTTCCAACTTCTTTGTGCTGCCGAAGCCGTCATCATAAGCATCGAAAAGCCGAAGCTGTGTATTCAAAAGAAATTAATCTAACCTCTAAATTTACCATGGATCCAGTTCAGTTTGCCCCCGTAGTTTACATTTACGGTTATAAAAATATTACTTCACTCTGTTTCCACACTCATCCTATTAATACTTGTTTTTGTTAATACCTATTTTACATATTACGCAACTGCATTGTGATCATGAGCAGTTTTGTTTACAAGCTCCTTGTAATCCACTTTAACACCTTTGAATTTTTATATCAAATATTTTATATCAAATATATATTGTATTTCCCGATGAATGAAAAACAAAACGATATTGATTTTACTGACGTTTCGCTATTTAATGCTAATAGCTTTCTCAAAGTATTATTAAACCGGAATTTACAAAATCTCAGCATATAACTGTCTAAATTACTTTGTTCCTATGACTATTTCATCTTCAATTACAAATTACCATTTTCTTTTATGTAATCGATCTGAATACTCGCTTATTCCCTAATTACTACTCATTTTTCCAAAATTATGCATTACACAATCCACTCATTGTAACCATTTCTACACTTTAATTGTGTGTATTTATTCTCTACGTTGAATATCACCCCCTTGGCATGCTAATACTGACTAATTATTGCTAACAAACATATCGCCACTTGATTGGTAAAGTGCTATGTATTGTATTAAAAATTATATATATATATATATATATATATATCAGAGTAGAGCCATAGATGAGAATCTAACTGGAAAGTAAATGTTTTTTCGCTCAGTCGTTTTGCTTTCAAATCGAAGTTAGTATTCAAGGATGTTGCTCTTCTACACAGAATAGTATTTAAACTTATAGTCATAACTTCAATCATTCATTCCTCTCAGCCGTCCAAAACTACTGGAGACAGACTAATAGGATATCAGGAAATTACTTTTCAAAAATAGTTCATTTCAGATTGGTGTTACAGGTTGTGGTCAGACGGCTAACAATTAACTCGAGTATAGCTCATTCATATGGCAGTTAGGCATTAATTCCTCTGAGTAAAGTTAAAATTTCCTTTGTGACTACTTTTTTAAATCTACCATTAAACCGTTAGGTCTAAAGATTGAATTGCTGTGATTAGATTTCCTTCAAAGTTGTTTCATATTTAATCATGGTTGTGGAAATATGATGTATCAATTTCTTGAATTCAAAATTTTACCCAGGTATATATTTATATATACCTGTTTATTCAAGAAATTTCACTTTTAGAATCCTACAATTTATTAGGTTAATCTTTCATTTTCAAAAAAGATGTCAGTCTCTTTACCATCAGAAAAAGGCTGAAGTGTTAAAAGAAAATTACACTCTAAAAAAAGTAAACGTAAGTCACAATGTATGTAGGTTATTTGGATAGATTCTATAATTAAATCATGTTAATGACTCACTTTTGTGATTTGCACATTGTTTTTGTTGTACATCTCCATGGTATTTCAAGTAATGTTTTATCATTCTCATAGTTTTTATTCACTTGACGGATATACACATTACCAGAATAATGGATATTTTGTATATCATTCTATAAAGATAACAGTAAATGTGGTTTAGCTATGCAGTTGGTTTTATTAACAGATAGGATTGGCGTCAGTTGTTTACTTAGTGCGTCGGTGGTATAGCGGTTATGACGCTCGCCGACCATGCATATGGTCCGGGGTTCGATTCCCGGCCACCGGCGCACTCCTTTACCTCACTGAGCCAGAAATAATGCTGGTAAAGAGGAACGGTTGGGCATGAGGCTAGCAACCCCATCCTGTAAAAATTAAACACTGCTACAGAAACTTCAAGCCACTAGCTTGGAGCCCTATGTTCCACTGGGAACGTGAAGGAAAAATTATTTATTATTATTTCAGTTGTTTACTTAATAAAGATTTTAAATAATAATAACTGAAAACCAAAGAATGACGGACATCCATTTCGTCCTAGTTTTTGGACTCATAGGCGGCACAAAAGCAGGACCTTATGACTATAAGGTATGCTCGTAGGCCATCCAGCCACTGGGCCATTGAGTTAGGCTGCAGTGTATGCGTGTTCTAAGAGCTATTTTTGCCGCCATGAGGCCCCGGATTCGAACCTCAGTGGGTGCGCACTGTGATGAGTCCCAATGTAGGACAAATGAGATCTCCAGTACTCCCTGATTTCCAAAGGATATCACTCTGTGGTCAAACCTGAAACAAACCAAATCCACCTAAACTAACTCATGAAAATAATAATAGTACCTTTCTTAAAGGTATCATCCTGCATTGTGGGTTGAACGGCAGATGAATTAAGTGTTGCCTCTGTTATGAGAACACTGTTTATTTGTGTGTCTGTGGTTAGGTGGTAGAATGCACACATGCTCTGTGGCTCTATCCCTGGCCGACTCTTTCCTAAACCTCACTCAGTTTACTGAAGGGTGGTAAGTCTGGTAAAGAGAGAAGTCAGGCTAACAACGCCGTACTGTAAAATCAACATCAAATGCTACCGAAACTTCAAACTTCGAAGTCCTGTATTCCACTCTGAACGCAGAGATGATGAAAAAATCACCACTGAAATATTTAGAGCCTTCTATTCCAGTTATCAGTTGATTTTTACACGAACATATGTTTCCTCTTGATAAATTACAGTCAAGTTGCTCATGCAGACTTTCGTTAACTAACTTTTGGATGCTTTCATCTGGTAACACGCTCACTGACTCCTAGTTGGCAGTTTATTTATCTGCGACCTACAAACGTAACCAGTAAATAGGGTGAATGTAATTTTCTAATAATACTAGCATCAAAAATAGTGAAAAACCAATATTTTTGAATAAAGCAGAGGAAACCACGGATAAACTGTTACTTCTATGTTCCAACGAACAAAAAAAAACTAAAGAAAACTGAAGTCAATGTAAGCTCATTTTGACCATGGTAATCTCATTGATCTGAACGCATTATTTGACTATGTAAAAACAAGTGTGTATATCAAATAGGTTTTTATTCTTCTAAATTTTGGACATTTTCCCATATAAAAACAGTTTATTGATAAAAACAAATTGAAATAGATGATTAACAGAAAAGTTTCTTTGTTTATCATTGAATTTATGCAAAGGAAAACAGTCGTCAAACATGCATCATTTGGATAAACAGGAAAGATGATGTTTCAGTTGTTTGACAATAATCATTCCGAGATGGTGAATGAATAACTTTAATTTATTTCCAGATAATGAGAATATTTTAAAATAGATATATTCCATTTTGCAGAATAATGCTAACCTAAACTATTTCCTTATACTGATAATTATTACATCTAAAAGATGTGCACTATAACGTTCATACATCAACAGTGATTATGCAGTAAAATTATCTGCGCGTTAGCCATTGTGCATATTAAAAGGGAAAGGTAAGCAAAAACAAAATGCTTTCAATTCTGTTCAGAGAAAATCAGTCAAATTAAAACTACATAAGGAACATATATCTGACACTTGAAATTACTATAGTTTCTGTCCACTACAGTATAAAAAGGCGTTGGTTAAGTGTTTGTTCAAGCGCGTTCACCGTATATGTACCGCCGATACAATTGAAGAAGAAAGACAACATCTCACTGAAATATTGTTAGATAACAATTACCCACTGAGATTTATTAGACGTTATGGAAGTGTCAACCACACAGCTTTACCAATCCAATCAGTTCCCAAAAAGGATGTTTACATATCCTTGCCGTTCAGAGGTGATCAACAAAGTCTAGTCACTAGACAAAGACTAAAGGCCGCAATTAGTAGAACCTATTATGCAGCTAAACTTATCTTCATAGAGAAAACGAAAACTATGCTGTCCTGTAAACCCTCACATTATCCGAACGATAGTGTCACATCCCACTGTGTTTATCAATTTACATGTATGTGTGGAGACACGTACATAGGGAGGACCCATCGGTCTCTGGATGTTAGGGCTACAGAACACATTCCAAAGTGGCTGCAACAACAAATGAAATCGCCAGATACAATTGACCCGGGAAATAGATGTCCAACATCATTTTTAGCGAAGCATATTATAGAGACGGGTCATAAGGTTGATTTTAATAATCCCTTTAAGCCGATATATAAGACAAGGTTGGGTCACATACTTAAATTCATTGAAGCCTTAGCCATTAAAAGACTTAAACCTGTCTTATGCGTCCAAAAGTTATTTGTTATCACCTTAAACCTGCCTTGGTAATCCAACTTAGAACCAAGGTCCAATTTTACTTCATAATATTTTCAAACCCTTTCTTTGCCTTTTTTTTCCCCCCTTTATCTTTCTTACCCACACTTTTTGCGTCTCCCTACCCATTATTTTGTGACCTTGACCTGTACACAATCTGACCTGTATTGTAATTATTCATGCTTTCTTGCCCTATATAAAAACTGTGTATGACAAGTACTTGTGTGATCAGAATGTCCGAAATGTGTTGCGCTAATACATTATACGTTTCAGATAAACTACGTCTTCTTATTGTTTTGTCGAAACTTGAATATACATTACTAGCTGAAAGCTTGACTAACTAGACAGAACCACTCATTTTTACCATCATAATACACACAATGACTGTTTTGAGGTATGAATTAAAAACAAGCCTAAGATATACTATACTAAGAGGAAAGAATTATAAAAGTGTGAAAAAAGATATGCGGCTATTGTACTACTGGCCGTTTGGATACAAAATATAGTGAGTTAGTGGCTGTTACCACTTCGTAAATTCTAGCCAAGAAATTTGTGTTCCTCTCAACAGTCTCGATTCAGAAACCAACTTACTGTGTTGATATCAGTCTAGTAATGTAACTAAGCAATAGCTCTCTTCATTTTTCTTTAACGCTACTTATATAGTGTCTAAATATTAGCAGAAATTATTTTAAACAGGTACGAAAATATTATTCTTTCTTATTATGAAGAAATTCTGTGAATGCAACAATAACCTTATATCAGGTATATTCTTATCTAATCTATTCGGAATATTAGTGAGTGAAAATCTGTTTTTTATTGAAAGAGTTGTTCACAGAATGATTAGCTTTGAGTATGAGAAATATTTCAAAGTATGGAACAGTTATAGAAAAACGATACTACTACTACTACTAATTTAATGTCACCATTACTCTATACGCATTCAGTCAATTATATTTTTGAATGCAATTTTATTTGTGTATTTAGGTCACATTTGGTTACATGTTCATGTCATTTTACAAGACTGTAATCCAGGTGAATTCATGTTTTTACACAGACCAGATTGTGTGCATGCTTATATTACTGTAGAATGCTTTTTAGCCAGATGAAAGTTAGATCTTTCATGTGCTGTTCGTCTACGATCGATCGCTCATAATCTTTTTTATTAGCTGATGCACACTAGTTTTCATGAAGATTTTATAATTAAATACTGGTAATACAATCTATCAATCACAAGGATTTCATCATTTCACTAGCCAGATTAGAGTGATACAAAACACGGAATGATCGATTCGAACTGAAGCACTCACTTGTGTATCCACTGATTTGTGAAGAGAAGTGGTTACTTAGACTGACTGACTTTTGTCACTTGTTTTGAATAAAGAAGTCAATGTACTGTGAGCTAAGTGAAAAACATAAGTTCGTTGGGGTATATGTCTGATTTCCCTTCAAGTGAAAGAGTGATAAAAATTTGTAGTGAAGATATTTTATGAGGGTTGTTATTATTGTTTCTATACATTTTCCGTAACATATTTTCTTAATTCATGGTAATATTACGTATAACACTCATGTGTTATAAATTGCCAAAGTAATTTCTAGATACGCTTTATCAAAATAGGTGAAGAATACTTTAGTATCACTCATTTACATTACCGTTCGTATTGGATTGTATTAGCTTTAACAGTGAGAATATCCACATCACATTTCAGAGTATAATCTTACTTTGAAGGAAATTAGTACATGTGGCCACAATCTACACTAATACAAAAAAGGAAGTAAACACAAATGTAGTGATGGGGATATAAAAACGAAACAAAAGAGGAAAGGAGAAATGATACGATAAAGATTACTGAAAGCATCTAAAATTTCTAAAATGACCAAGTCAATAAGTCTAAAACTTATTCGTTTCAATTTATGACCGTTTTCATCAGGAGTCAAAAATCATTGATTGATAGTGTTTCGGAGGCAGTAACTATGGCATCTATCGTTCCTTATAGTACTGACATCAGTACTTTAAGTCGTTTGTATAGTAACAGCCTCATTTGCTTGATATCAAATACTTATGTTTATAAACTTGAACAAAGCAAGAGTTTATGCTTCAGTGAAACACAGCAAAAACAATTAACTTAAAGTGAGGCTTACAAGATTACTACATGCTGATTCGTTGTGCATGTCAACGCCACATCTCCTCCTGAACGATTGATCATTGGGCATAGTGGTACAAAGCCAATTGCTTTTAAACGAAAAACTTTTATGATCATTCAGTGTATTCAGTCTGTCCCTTGTTGATGACGTCAGTAGGCAAGACTCTGTATTTCTTATTGTTTCTGCATAAGTTAGTTGTAATAGTGAGACGTAAGTCATATTTAATCGAATTTGGTAAGGCAGTGCTTTGAATCTCCCCAAAGTATGCATAAAATAACAAATTGTAAGTTGGCCTTCATTGCAATCTGTTTTAACTATAGGCAAAATACACAAAAATAGTCTCAACTTCATTTTTTTAAATAATAAAATAAACTAATAAAAAGAAATTTCATTGATAATTACTCATTGAGAGATTAAGGATCTAGTAACATCGATATACTCTGTTAAAAAAAATGAGCAGTAAGATGCAATTTGTACTTTACGACTTGATTTTTGCTACTGATTACCGTTAAAATTCAGTCACAAAACGTGCTGGCAAAGAATGGTATCTTTTACATTTGTGATAACATTTTAGCTCCTGGATGGGCTATATCGAGACTGAACAGATTATAATACAGAATAATTTAGCATAGATAAGTACCATTTGCTTGATTTCATAAATCTTCAGCCATCAGATTAAAACTAAACCCCAGTTCACGTTTGTGTTTAATATCTGTATGTGACAGTGTTTTAAAGAGATATGCGGCAAACGTTTTATTGCTGTATTAAGCTATCGAGAATTTCAATTCACTATTACTTTGAAATGTGTTGTTTTTTGACAGTAGTCTTGTCATCGCAAAGGTTTTTGAACCTGTGTGGTCTATCATATTAACCTTCAAGACAACCTCTCGTACCTAACTAGGTGATAAGAGTTTTACTAATGAACATCAAGAAGTTACCATTGTGTTCGGTATAATCTTTCATAGTCTTTAATAAGGGAAAAGATTTCTAGCAATGTTGATAGAGGCTTGCTAACTTTAATATACTAAATAGCACTGTTTTGTTCTGAATTTGGACTTCTGGTAATATGCGCCGATGATTCTTTCAGGTCAGTTTTGCACAGAATTGCAAGAGCTATAATTTCTCTCCACACCTAACTTGGTGATTCCCATCGGTTTCATAAGGTCTTTGAAAATCATATTTTCAGTCCAGTCATTAGCCTTCAGTGAACGAGAAGTTCGAGTGGATCAGTTACTTAGGCTAAGGTAAATAACCCTTTCATCGACAATTCCTCAGAATGAACTCGTTTGAGTAACAGATGAAGAGTGCTGATTTCAGTAGTAGTCAGAACGTGGGTTTCATGTATTTAGCACAGTTTCGTATGTGAATTAATTTACTTGATCCAAATTAATTTCCATTTAGAATATATGAATATTGCCTGATAAAGAGAACTGATTTAGGTCAACTTAATGGTTGCTTTTCATGGTCACTTGTTAACTATTCACTGCTTTATTGCACAGCATATCCACAGTTTTAATGAGATCGAGAACGTTTCAGCTTCACGGATTTTCGACTAATAAAAGCACTGCCCATCCGTCGCATTAGCAGGAAAAAAACAACAATGCGACTTCAACTACTTAACAGTAGTATGAAGACCACGAAAAAGTATTTGTCAGGGTGCCGTCACGACAACCGAATCTGGCGAACATATGTAAAGACCAACCAAATGCAACCATAATTTTGAAAGAATACTTGGTATTTCAGAGAATTTAAGAAAGAACCAGAAAATTCCTTCGCATATATTGGTAGTCTATTTGTACATTCAGCGCTTTCACTTCTTGACTACCTAATGCAGTTTGATTTAACTAGTATTTATATTTAACAATCAGCATAAATGGGAGGAACCTGAAAGAAACAACCTCCTTCACCTACCTGGGAAGCATCGTTTCAACTACAGGCGAACGGGGCTGACGAGGATATCAAAGCCAGAATCGGAAAAACAAGACAAGCTTTCATTAATCTCAAGTCTGTTTGGAGGTCAACCTCACTCAGAATCAAAAATAACATCCGGATTTTCAACTCCAACGTGAAGTCAGTGGTACTATACGGATCAGAGACTTGGTCAGCGCGTCATAAAGAGCATCTCAAACAAACTACAGACCTTCATCAACAGTTGTCTTCGCTCATTACTCAAGATCAGATGGCCGGCCAGAAAAGACCAGCAACAGGGATCTCTGGCAATGAGCGAACCAACACAGTGGGAACAGATTGTGAAACAAATAGGCAGGAAGAAATGTAGGTGGATTGGACTGCCATACTCTGAGGAAACCATCAAGTGACATCACTAGACAAGCCATTACTCGAGTGGAACCCGAAGGGGAAGCGGCTAGTTGGTCGTCAGTGCAAGGGTGACTTAGAGGAGGTCATGTGAAGAGGAGATGAAAGCATGTGGGAAGACTTGGAGCGGGGTGAAAAAGTTGTCAGAAAACAGAAGGCAATGGAGGTACGCAGCTAAAGCCCTATGTTCCTCTGGGAATTAAAGGATATAATAATAATATATTTAGATTAGATATTTTTTAGAAATATAGAACCGACATGACTAACGTTCAAATTGAATACTTACTGTGTTCTACCTCGCATGGGAAGTATAGCTTGTCATTATATTTGAATAAATTCATTGATTTATCTTTATTGCGTGCATTTTCTTTTCGGTCACCGATTTGTCCGAATGATCTGTTTGGTGGACACTGGCATCCATCAGCTATGCCATCATTATTCTGATCATAACATGTTCCGTTAACATTTTGGCATGGTCCACATTCATCAGCTACAAGATTTGTAGCACTCTGATTCACCTGTTTTTGATTTTTCATTATAGGGACTGAAAGTAATCGTATACTTAAGTAACTTATAAATAAAGATTGAAGTTATTCTAAGTAAATATTTAATAAAACATAGTTTTGATTGGGGGCAAACATATGATAAAAGGAGAAAAAATACCATCTATGTTGAAATTCGAAGCTTCTGATGAGTCAGGTCGTACTTAATAATGTATATTTTTATCTTCATACTGTTCAAGTATTTCTTCATAGCCTAAAACCAAAGTTTTCTAGTGGAATGTCATCCACCATCTCATCCGATTGTTTAGAAGCTAATATATGTGTAGCATGAATGCACAGGTTTATGTTTTACAAAACCAAATGATTAAAAATGCGCATTAAAATCTTCTAAAACAATGGTTAATGAACAAAGAATATCCTTTTCGACAATTTCATCATCACGTTCTACAGTTATATATATATATATATATATATATATATAATAGTGAATGAAATAGGGTTTTTAACAATACTAATGTTTAAATAACATCGAATTAATAATAAGGGCCTATGTAAGTCTCTCCACAAACCCAGTTGAATTGGTAGATACAGTCAGAAGTGGCTAGTCTCTAGGACCTTGGTTTTTTGTGCTCGAGAACACCTACCAGTTTGGTTTAACAAAGGTGTAGTGAGAAGTATCAACAGTTCGGTATTAGACCACTTGGTCCAAAACTGCCACAAAGCCAGTATTAAATAGTCCTTCTCTACCATCTATCAGGTTGCAAACAAACTACCAAAAACATCCACATACTTCAAATAGAAGAGGCTATGACGATTCTCCTGAAAGAACCGGTGCTATGTGTGCAGAAAAAGCAAGCCCAGCCACTACTACTACCCTGAACTTCACTGGAGACTATAAATTCATGAATCTGTATAATTATCGTTTCTAATTTCTCTGATATTCAGTGTTTTATGTTGATGCCATCGAACTGTAATCTACTGATATTAATACTGATTCAATGTTATTTAAACATTAATGTTGTTGATAACCCTAATTCATTCACTATTATGTATGTATAACTGTAGAACCTGATGATGAAATTATCTGAAAGAATTTGCTTTGTTCGGTAACCATTGTTTTACAAAACTAAATGCCAATCAAGTTTTCCTATTTTTATAACCAGAACATACTTTATGAATAATTCCTATCTAGATGTTAATGAATATACTAAACACTTGATGAAACACTTTACCACACTGAACAAACAGCTACAGGTGTGATTGTATAAACTGCTTTCAGACATGTTCTCTCAAGTAGGCAGAATTTTCCTCTCTTCAATCAGTTTATGACAGATTTGTATGTCAGTACTCAAATTGTATGTTTCGGAACAGAACCTGATATTTAAAGCCCAACATTATACGGTAACTTTCTGATCCAAACTATTGTTCTTGAACAAGCGGAAGATAGAAAAGCTGAAATACTGGTGGTGATATTAATGGCGAAAATGCTGGAGAAAAGGGGGAATAAATTGATTTAAACATGCACTGATGTTTCCGTGGATTAAAATAGGTAATACCCCTAAGCTTATTATTACAACAACACACCTAATTTATACAATCATTTTAATCACATATATAAGAATCAGTTACTACAAAAGTGTAGGTCATAAATACTTTCTTAGAAGTAGGTTACTAGGAATTTTGAAGTTAAGATGATAAACATAGGTCACAAAAATTTGTTGAAAATAAGAATATAGTTCAGTGTCATCAGAATATGCAGACTTACAACACTCGAAGTAGTTTAAAAAGTTCTGATATACTGGAATTGTGTTGGCTGGACATGTACAAATTCTTTTATGAGATGAATTGCTTCTACTACATTGAGCATTGCGTGATCTGCATACCAGACCTGAATGATCGCAGACTTCACCAATATCAGCTATTCAGCACATAAAGAACAGAATCACAAATAATGTTTTGGTGGTAAAATTCCCAGTGCATAAAATACGAAATTAAGAGCAAATGAAACAGTTTAGTCACTTAAAAATTGTTCAGATTATAATTAATGTCAAATTGTTAGTTATCCCTGGCTAAATGGATTTTGTGATGTCGTATATTGAGTTCGTTGTCTTTTTCAGACTTCTTAAACAAGATTGCTTATAGTCACTTCCTTAATTGTGTCACAACAAAAAGTGACGGGTATATAGCTAGTGTGTTTCATTCTATGTAAGCGATTTAGTTTAAAGGATCTCATTACATTTAGTTAATATTATAGGTGGAGTTTAGTTGAATCGAATCACAGTCTTCATTGCAAGTGTTAAGGAAAAACTCCATGTTAACTTTTGTATTCGATATACTGTGGTAAAATAGTATTTACTGGCTGGTATTTCTAGCAGACTTTACTACTTCACATACACAACATCGTCATAAATATCTTTATTTGTCTTGGTTTGAATATTTCTACAGTCAGGCATTGCTGTACCATAATTGATAGCGGCACCTGCGGTTTTTTTGAAATAATCCTAACTTTGTGCGACGGTGGCACAGTGGTTAGGACTCTCGCCGACCATGCACATGGTCCGAGGTTCGATCCCCTGCCGACGCACACCGGATATCTATGGTCGGCCTGCAAAATTTGGGCTACCGATATCACATGCTGAAAATTCCATACCTGTACCAAAAAATACGATGTAGAATCAAGCTGTAATAAAAAAACAAACAAAGATCCTGTCATAAGTCTATTTCCCTGCCTCATCTATCCTAATGTGGAACTTGTCATAAGTATACCTGCTTGGTATAATGAATTCGTCTAATGGAGTGGCCAAGTCCATTTCAAAATCACTCATCTAAACTAGGATCCTCTTTTCGATGTTTGGATTACTGACTTCTCCATTGTTTAAAAAAAACTGAAATGTGTGCGTTTCGTGGCGTTCACATGACACCATATGACAAGGATTTTGATATTTGAAAAAAACTGACGGATACGTAATAAGTGGGATAAATTATTTTTATGCTCTTATGTCTAGATGGTTTACAAACTTAATGAAAAAATCAACTTACGCAAATTAATAAAGCATAAACGATCCACTCTTGTCAACTTAGAATCAAATGATATATTAGCTAATTGTTTCAGATGCTCTAATGTACACGAACACCCTATGTACGCAGGACTGTTTGTACTAGAAATGGAAATCAAGAGAAAAAATGTTACTTTAGACTTCTCAGCTGCAACAGCTATTAAGAACAAACAGTATAAATCCGTCCGATACGTTTTACAGGTGAAAATAAATGGGAACTTGCCTTAGAAGAGTCGTCTACTTGTCTAGCGGTTTGACGAGGCAGATATTATGTAATTGTGGAGCCTACTTATGTATTTCTAAATATACTAAACAAAGTTTATATGCACAACGAACGGGCATTATGCATTAGTGGGATGATGAAAGAGATCTCTGACTTGTATTAGCCCATACCTACTGAACGGAAAATTTGTCACTGAAACCAACGTATGAGACATTAAAGTGAAGTGTGTTTTGTGGATCCGTTTAGGGGAAGTTAGTGTTTCAGATTATTTTGAACTTGTCAAAGCGACTTTCAATTGAATGATAAAAACAGCTAAGGACTAAAATTGCAGCAATAGTTCTTATTGTGTTAACTCTTTCTACTTACAAAAAACATTCTAATTCATTTCCGTATAATTGCATCATCAAACAAAAAACAGTAGAATATGAGAATGCACTTAGTTTAGTGTGCACTGCTCTGGTGCTGTTTATTCGACTTAAGAAAATAAGGTTATTACTCCTCACACTTCAGATAACACAGCATTGAGAAACTAAACGAGTAACTATTAATCATATTGTATTATTCATTCAACACGTTAGGGTTTAATGTGAATGGAATAAAGTCGGTACGAGAGGCTTCCAAAAACTGTTCACAAAGACTGATTTCCTTAGGATATTTGATATACCTGAAGAATTATGTAGGCCTCTGCAAAAACTGGCGTGGATTAATGCTGTTGTCCACGCCAAGTAAAATACTTAGTTGCATCATCCTGGAGAGAATAAAAGATGCACTGGGTGCAGAACTCCGCCAGCACAGAACATGCTGGATTCAGGAAAGGCAAATCATTTGCTGATTAAATTGCAACTCTACTCATCTTTATCATAGAAACAGGCACTGAATGGCAGTCAAACCTCTCTCTACTTCAACTTCATCGAATTCGAAGGGGCTTTCGACAGCGCATTGTCGACCAAGAAGTAAATTAGAAACTACTTAAAAACCATGGCGTGTAATGCCCAAAATCTTTATCAACCTTATTCAACAGGTGGCTATATGACAGTGCCACGTGTCAGGTTATCCATAACACTCAAAGAGGTACTCGAAGTAAAAAACAGGAGTAAGACGAGACAACCTGCCTATTATCACCAATGATATTCTTAATTGCGGTGGGGAGTGAGAAGACAGGGATGTGTTGAACCGATAAGAAGACTACATCCAGAGGATCTAGACTTCGCATATGATTTATTTTTACTGTCACACAAACTCAAAGACTTGCAGACGAAAACCAACAAACTGCCTGAAGAAGCAGGCGATAAGGAAAGGACTGCAGGTGGAAATAAAGAAGGTGGAGAGGGAGGTGATGAAGGTAACCAACGACCAGAACCAATCACCATCAACGAGGGAGATTTGACAGGGTTTACCTCCTTCACTTATCCGGCCAGGAAGCATCGTACCAACCCACAGCCATACGGTGCGGATAAAAATGTCAAAACCAGCTGGCCAGAATCGGAAAGGCAAGACACGCCCCCATCAACCTGAAATCAGTTTGTAAATCCTCTGCTTCACTCAGTCAGCATTAACAACAAGGTTTCGATTTCACACAAATGTATAGTCAGTCAGTTCTTCGATACGGGTCAGAAGCTTGCACTGCGTGTCCCAAAAGGAATTTCCAACAGGTTGCAGGCTTTCACCAACAGCTGCCTTCGCCAGTTCCATACTAAAGATCAAATGGCCAGAAAAAATAAGTGACAGGAAACTGTAGGAACAAATCAACCAAGAGCCGATCGCTCAGCAAATATGTAGGCGAAAATAGGGATAGATTGAGTATATGTTGAGGAGGCCATCGGATGACATTGAGCACAATGCTGGCCATATGTCGACTTGAATCCCAATGGTAAGCGATGACTGGGTGGTCAGTAAGATGGTGATATGGAAGAGATCGTGCGGGGGATGAGAGATTATGGGCAATCGCGTACCCAGACAGAGAAGACACCAAAAACAGAAGAAAGTGGAGAGTTTTTGTTGAAGCCTTCTGTGCCACTCGGAACCCAAGAGAATAATAACAATATGCTAACACAAGATGCAACCTCGCCAGATTACTAGCTTGCTAGGCTAGTAGCTTTCTAGTTTTCCAGCCGGTCCCAAGCCCCGGTAAAGAGGGAGGGTTGGGGCCTGGTGCCAGCAACTCCACCCCTGTAAAACAACCAAATCGCTACAGAAACTTCAACGAATAAATATATTAAAAATTCTAAAAACATAAGCAATAGCCTTATTTTTCGCTGGAATCGGGGAAGTGAAATGACGCAGGCTGGTGAAAGCTAGCCTTCGGGAAGCCAGTCAGCCGATGTGCCTTCTTTCGATGAAAGCAAAAGTAAGGATGGGTACCTGGAATGTTCGTACAATGTACGAAACTGGAAAGGCTGCCCAGATAGCCGCTGAAATGAGAAGGTACAGAATAGAAGTGTTGGGAATCTGCGAAAGCAGATGGAACGGAACTGGAAGGTGCCAACTACCTACTGGAGAGACAGTAATCTATTCCGGCCACCCAGAGGACAACCACGAGCACACCGAGGGAGTGGCCATCATGATGTCACCAACAGCAGCCAAAGCTCTCATGCAGTGGGAACCAATCTCCTCCAGGATAATGACAGCCAGGTTCAACTCAAAAGGAAGGAAAGTTACAGTCATTCAATCAATGCTATGCGCCTACAAACGTCTCAGAACAAGAGAAGAAGGAGGCGTTCTACAGACAACTACAAGCAATAATGGACAACGTCCCAAATGGCGATATCAAAATCCTGATGGGCGACATGAATGCGAAGCTGGGAGGAGACAACACAGGAAGAGAACTCACCATGGGTCGTGAGGCCCTCGGTGAAATGAACGACAATGGTGAACTCTTCTCAGACTTCTGCGCCTTCAATGATTTGGTGATTGGGGTAGTGTGTTCAAACACAAGGATATACACAAGACGACATGGATTTCACCAGATGGAAACACCAAAAACCAAATAGACTTCATCTCAATTTCAAGAAAGTGGAGACGGAGCCTACTGGACACAAGGTCAAGGAGAGGAGCAGATGTGGGTTCAGACCACTATCTAGTACAAGGGACTTTCAAGGTGAAACTAAAAGCCTCGAGGATAGCTGGGGATAGGCCACAATGCAAGTTCAACACTCAATTACTGAAGGACACAACCACAAAAGACAACTATCAGAGCAAAGCAGGAAACACTACGCGACATCACTGAAGAATCATGCGTGGAAGAACATTGGAAGTCTCTGAAGGCGATTCTCAACGAAACGTGTTCAACGGTTCTAGGAAGAAAGAAGAGACAAGACAAGGAATGGCTCTCAACGGACACTTGGAAATTAATAGAAGAGAGGAGAATGGTGAAAGAGAAAATGATTCAATGCAAGGACGGACAGGAGAAGAAGACGCTGAGCTCAACTTACACAGCACTGGACAAAGAAGTGAAGAAGAGTGCTAGGAAGGACAAAAGACGATTCTACGACAACCTGGCACTGAAGCTGAGAAGGCAGCAGGCAAAAGGGACCTGAGGACACTATATCAGATAACCAAATCTCTATCCGGGAAGAGATCAACACAAGCGAAACCTATAAAAGACAGCCAAGGGAACCCAATTACCAAGGAAGAAAAACAGATTAAACAATGGGCGGATCACTTCAAAGGACTCTTGAACCGACCACCACCTGCAACCCGTCCAGAAATACCAACAACAGCGCGCACACAACTGCAAGTTGACACCAATCCTCCAACGAAAGCTGAAGTCTTGAATGCAATCAAGCTTCTGAAAGCTGGAAAAGCAGCTGGACCAGATGGAATACCCCCTGAAGCACTGAAAGCGGACCCAGAGACTACAGCAGACATGCTGACTCCATTATTGCAAAAGGTCTGGAAGGAGGGAAAGGTGCCTACTGACTGGAGGAAAGGTTACCTCGTGAAACTACCAAAGAAGGGCGACTTAGGCCTCACTCTGCAAGAACTGGCGAGGAATCATGCTCCTGTCGACGCCAAGTAAAATCCTGAGTCGCATCATCCTGGAGAGATTAAAGGACGCACTGGATACAGAACTCCGACCAGAACAAGCTGGATTCAGGAAAGGCAAATCATGTACTGACCAAATTGCAACTCTACGCATCTTCATCATCGAACAAAGCATGGAATGGCAATCAAACCTCTACCTCAACTTTATAGACTTTGAGAAGGCCTTCGACAGCGTTGATCGTGAAGTAATTTGGAAATTACTCGAGTACTACGGCGTACCCCAAATATTCATCAACCTTATTCAACAGCTGTACGACAACGGAACATGTCAAGTGATCCACAACGGAAAACTCAGCGAGGCGTTTGGAGTAAACACAGGAGTCAGACAAGGGTGCTTATTATCTATCACCAATGATATTCCTAATTGTGGTGGACTGGATTATGCGTCAGACAGTGGGAAACGAGAAACGGGACAGGGATATCCTGGACCGACACAAAGAACCTAAAAGACCTGGATTTCGCGCGTACATGATTTATGTTTGATGTCTCACAAAATTGAAGACTTACAAGCGAAAGCCGCCAAACTTGTGGAAGAAGCAGCAAAGACAGGACTCCAGGTAAACACAGATAAGACGGAGGTTGTGAAAATAACCACCCAACAACAACAACAGCAGCAGTAACATCCAGCGTCAATCACCATTAACGGGAGGGATTTGAAGGAGGTTACTTCATCCACGTATCTAGGGTGAGAGCATTGGTTCGACTACAGGAGAAACGGACGATGATGTCAAATCGAGAATTCAGTTGGATTTTCAATACAAATGTCAAGTCAGTCAGTTCTTCTATACGGATGAGAAACTTCGCGGGCGGGTCACAAAGAATATTTCCAACAGCCTGTTGCAGACCAGACCTTTATTAACAACTGTCTTCGCTCTATACTGGAGATCAGATGGCCGGGCCGGAAAGAATCATTAACAAGGAACTATGGGAACAAACAAAACAAAACAAGAAGCAATCGCCCAACAAATATGCAGGAGAAAGTGGAGATGGATTGTAAACTCGCTTAGGAGACCACTGGGTGACATCGCGCGTCAAGCCCTCGAGTGGAACCTGAAAGGAAAGCGGCGTGTGGGACGTCCAAGGGTGACATGGGGGAGATCGTGTAAAGAGGAGTTGAAACAGTATGGACTAACATGGATGCAGGTGAAAAGTACAGCAGAAGACAGAAGTGGCAATTGGAGACGCGCAGTTGAAGCCCTATGTTCCAATAGGAACACAAGGAAGCAATAATAGTAATAGTAATATTACAAGATGCATATAAAACAAGGTAATTGAATGATATCCTTAAAATGACTCTACACAGGTGGTAACAATGTACATTGTATAATAATTAGCATGGCCATTAAGGAAATTTAACCGAAATTCGCCCCATATTTGAGGATGTAGTTACTGGTGGTAGGTATATTAGGTTATTCATAAAGTCATGCAATTGTCCTGTAAAACTTTAATTATTTCGACGATAGTAATGTTTTTATCTGTGTTAACTGGATTCGGTCGATTCTAATTGGAACCGTGGGGTTTATTTGGGATTAAGTCGATTTTATTTGGAACGATCCGGTTTTATTTCGGTTTGGTCGGAAACTGCACGTCTATATCCTCAGGGGTTATTTGCATGGCGCCTTTAACACTCAGCCTTGCTGTCATATTCCTAGAATGTTAACTGACAGCATGAGTCGATAACAGCGAATAAAGGCGCATCTTTTGTCCCAATGAGGGGAAATGATACAAATAACTGCGTTCAGTCTAATTATGGCACAATACTTAATTCTCTGCAAAAGGTACCAGAAGCGTTTTGATATATTCACAGTCAACGGTTATATAACAACGCTGAATATTCTATGCATTATATAAATACTGTCAGAAGTAAGGCTGTTATCATCGTGGCAGTACCTTGAACAACAAAAATTCAACCAGAGACTTCATCACCACCTCAAACAATAGCTTCATATTCATTGAGCAGCTTGATATAAATTAAATACTGCACAAAATGCGAGTATCTACAGAAGAAACAAAGCGGAATCTCTCTTGTGATGTCTCTAGTAAATAGCGTAAAGGGGACAACTTCCATGAATTGTGTTTTGTAACTGATGAGGAGCTGATACGTAAAAGTACAGTGTGTGTCTGACCTCTTGCATCAAAGTACAATGATCTGGAAATGTATACCGTTAAGGAAGACATTTGACTTTAAATTGCTTATAATCCCTATTATAACTATCAGATATAAGTGATAAATCATGATTAGTCACAAAGACTAAGTTATGACATGCATATTACTATGTAGTAATAATAATAAATTTATCATATTTCGAGGTAAAAATTCAATAATAAACAATTTATTATAATTACAAGTTGATTTTCGTGTTTTGAACTTACTTGTCTGCAATGCTACCTAATTTAATTGTGATGGCGTTCACGTCATCCATGCGCTGTAAATCCTTTTCAAATACCTCATGACATACATAATTTGAGCCACAGATATTGCAAGCATCATAATTTTGATGGAATAACTTCTTTCCTGATTAACAAAAGTATCACATTGATAATAATTACTTTTCAGTTGTCAAGGTTTGTTAAAGTACTGCCATGTAATAGATGTGTGTAGGAGTCATGATATAGTATAGTAAAATAATAAACCAACCTATATACCATTTTTTAGAAACTCTGTTAACCTAACCGTCGATGCAAAGTCTCAGACAGTGTAATAGTAAATTTAGCGGAGGAAACTAAAAATATCACATTTTAAACAAACAGCAGAAAAATTTAAGAAAACATTGAGCGAACTGTGCAATTATTCGCCTGAATGAAGACAACTGGAGTTATATTCGATGACAATTAATGTTCATTTGGTAATACATTACAGATTCTGAGAAAAGTAACAGCTATAAGTTAGGTGAATGAGACAGCCTGCCGTGATGGCAGATACTGTACCTGTGGAAAACAACTGTCTGTCTGAAACTGTTCCATATTAGTTTGTATATTAGATGTATCATACAGTGAAACAGTATTATGTACTGGATGACGTTTTGAACACAATTTATTATTCATAATCATGTCAATTATAATCATACGACTTTGAATCTTGAGTTTTATAGTTTTCTTTGTTCTCTTCTATTCGTCGTGGGGGTAGTAAAATTGAAACGTTCACCCCCACCCAAAAAGTATGTTGGAGGTATGTAGATGACACATTCACTGTACTTAGAACACAAAATATAGATAGATTTTTCGAACACATTAACTCAATGGTGGAGGCAATTCAATTCACTTATGAATTGGAAAGTCAGGAAGGGGAAATTTCAATGTTAGATTGCAACGTAAAAAGGAAAGAAGATGGGAAGTTAAACAATAGTGTTTACAGGAAATCCACACATTCAAACAGATATGTGGACTTCCGATCATCCCGCCCTATATCAGTAAAAATAGGATTGGTGAAATTATAGTAATTGTTGTAATCGTAATATTAGTATTTCAAGATGACCGAATTACACAAATCCAACCAGAACACAGAGAGGGCGGAATTCAGGAATTTGTATTCAGCGGAATTATATTGCAATTCATATAAGAAACATATTAACAATCAACAGTAAGTATTGAAACAATACAGAGATAGAAATTGTCAATCACCACATCCGCCACACGTCGAATGTCTCCTTGCGTATTTATAACGATGTCTCGGTTTGCTTGCAAGTAGCTTCGACCTTCTAACTGATTCTGTGATATCATTTTCATCAGTATTATCTGGACTTATTTCTGAATTATCTACAAAATCAGGATTAGTAGCGGAATCATTAAAATAATAATTGGAACGACCTACTTCATTTATTGTCACTTTGTCCAGGTGTCTGTTATGAACTGAGTGATCTTTGTTGTCTAATATCTTCACCACTCGATTTCCCATTTTTTGTAGTATAATTCCAACAGAAGGTCTATAGTCATTCCCTATGTAATAATGTACATTAGAAGTCGTGGACATCAGATGCTTTTTGAGAATTCGAGATTTGAAAAGTTTTGCAGGACTTTCATGGGTACTTGTATGCTCTGCATTCAACAGACGCAGTCTATGCATATGCGGCAATTCCTCCATTTTAATCAGTTGCTCTCTCATCTCATTCAGTTTTTTTCGTGTTTTCGACAGTTCACATTGTAACTCGGCTACCTCATTTTTGAAAACAGTTGACGCTTGAGTTGTTGAACTTGTAGTGGAGGTTTTCATTGGATGAGCTTGAGTATTTTGAAAAGTTGAAAGACACATTGACTCCATTTTACTAGACAGATTGGGAGAATTATAAGAATGTTGAGCAACATAGGTATTCGAACTTCTGCAAACAGTCTTGATGTGTCCAACTTTACCACATTTACGACACTTAGCACCCCGAAAACGGCAAGTGCTTCGTAGATGTAACTTTCCACAGGAAAAACACGGTTTAATGTTTTTGATCTCTCGCTGCATTCTATTGCCTGTGGACGACGGTTTGGATTGCTTTCCATGACCACTTGTATTTTCGACTTTAGAAAGCATAACATCAGATACTGACATAGTGGGAGCAGAGTATTCACTGTTGACATCTTCATATGTAACACATAAATCTTTAGCAGTTTGAAAGGTACAAGAAGGAATCTGAATTAACTCTTTCTCTAATTTAGGAATATTGATTCCAGCAATTAAACGATCACGTAGTTGAGTATGCAGCTGATCTCCAAAGTTACACTTTGAAGCTTGCATTTGGAGTTGAAGAATAAAGTCTCTAATCTTCTGGTTGGGAGAACGTACCAGTTTGTTGAACTGAGCCCTCTCTCTGGTCTCAAATGTAGTTACATGAAAGTGATTTATAAGAAGTTCACGGAGTTTATAATATGGCAGAGAAATTGGTTTATCTGGAAATGACAGAGTCTTTACTAGGCTATATGCATCTAGCCCAATAGCAGTGATGAAATGTGCTGGAATTTTGTCATCCCGAACATTCTTTGAAATGCACCACGCATCGAAGCATTCCAAATAATCAGCAATCTCCCGCGGAGAACCATTAATAGGAAAGTTTCCCAGGTTATTTAGTTCCATCGCGACGCCAATTTGTAGTAATTTATTGTAGTCGTAATATTAGTATTTCGAGATGACCGAATTACAAGAATCCAAACAAAACACAGAGAGGGCGGAATTCAGGAATTTGTATTCAGCGGAATTATATTGCAATTCATATAAGAAACATATTAACAATCAACAGTAAGTATTGAAACAATACAGAGATAGAAATTGTCAATCACCACAGAAATGTTTAAATGACAGAGCACAAAAACTAAGTAGTACTAAGGAAAATCTAAGACAGGAAATGATACATATAAGATAGGCCTTGGAACTTATTAATTACCCAGATAAATTAGTCAGGAAATATGTAGGGAAATGTAAAATTAAAATGAATAATGGTAGTAGCGACAGTGACAATACTAATGACGACATGCAAGTGAAATGTGCGCAAGATAATGACAACACCAACAATAAGGAATCTAAATCATCAACAGTAATTCCATACAAGGAAGGAACCTTGGAAGCCTTACGCGGAATTCTTAACAATGCTAGCAGGAATAAAAGTCGCTGGCATTCAAACCAACCACAAACTCAATTAGAAACAAGCTTTGTCTGTTAACGGATCCTGTAGAACCATTAAAACAAAACAATTTAGTCTGTCTAATACCCTGCTAGAATGATTGTCAGGTCAAATACATAGGTCAAACTGGTAGAACAGGGGCAGTCAGACTAGCCGAACATAAAAACCTAGCAAAATCTAGATTGGTTGACCCGAATAAGATAAGAAATCTAGGGAATAGTTCAGGCGTAGATAGCACTACATGCAGTTACACACAACCACACAATAGGTTGGGATAGGGTGACAGTTTTAAAATCTAATATCACAGGGTGGAGGGAGAGAATGATAACAGAAGCTTTGTTTATCGAATCAACTGCAAATACATGCAACAGGAATGATTCAACACCTGTCCCAGTTATGTGGAAAATTCCACTACCCAAACGACAAATAGGAGAGGAGGAAAAAGGAAACTATAAAACTCAAGTTTCGAAGTTGTGTGATTATAATTGATATGATTATGAACGATAAAGTTTGTTCGAAACATTGTCATCCAGTAAATAATACTGTTTCACTGTGTGATACATCTAATTAAGAAACTAATATGGAATTACTTACTACTACAGTGCCCAAGGTTTACACATATATTAATTAAATTAATAATTCTCATTGAGACATGATATTATAATGACATATACTTCATCTTCCGATCAGCTATTTCGCACTTAAAATTGTGTTTGACCTCTATTTGTTTAGTTATTCATTCATATAAATTATAATAATGTATTCATGCATATATCTAATCATTTTTTAATTCATAATCCTATACACCAATATTATCGCACTAATATATCCACCCAGCGTCCAAGTCTATATATATATATATATATATATATATATATATATATGGTTGTTCAGCTGTGGAAATGAAGTCGCCGAAAAGAGAATTTTTTGTTTTTATATTTATCAGTGTCTAAGACTATGTTATATTCTTTCTTCATAAAAATTTACGAGAAATAGTAAAGCAATGTGTACAACTCTTTTCTGTTCGGGACTCAAGGGAATAATGATAATAAGAGAGTAAATTACCTGTTCTTAACAGAATCAGAGTTCATTTTAATATAAAATATTCAAATTATTAGTTCTTTGCTGCCACTTTACGTGGGGATGAATTTCTATTGGAAATATTTCTGAGTTACGAGGTTACATTGACGTGTGGAATAAGCATAAGATAAATGACTGTGTGACATTCACAGGTACTCAATGCCATTTGAATCCTCCATTTTGTAACTACTGGAGTGGGTTTCAGGAGAGAATGATACGCTTGGTTTACAGACTGATGTTGGTGACTTCTAAGGAGCAGACCGTTTATGATGATAATTTAGTGATTTATTATGTAGAAGACCTAACGCCTAATACTCTCCTACTGCTGAAAGATTGTGATGGCTTAACGACAGAAGGGAGATACGAAGTCTCTACCTTCCTAATGAAGCTGGCGATCAGCAGATTTATTCTAGGATGGGGTTATGCAGGCCTACTGTTGTTCGTCCCAAACTCCAGAAGTAAGAGAAAGAGCCATGGCAAAATGCCTAAAAAGATGTCCCAAGCTATATGGAGGGATTTTGGCCGCAAGTGTAACGGAGAAATTGTCTAGGAAATTTTTCATTTGACGATCTAGTCATAACGTTTCTACTTTTTTGAACGTTGCTACTAACTTTGTAATTATTATCCGTTTACTTCTAGACTGTATGTCATTATGTTGACATTGACATATCACGTGTTGATTTGATTCTTATTGTTTGTACTTTTTTAATCTCTAATTTTAATGCTTCGGTTTGTGGTTGTTTGTACATTGATAATTTTTTGAACGATGTGATCCCAGTTGAATGAATGAAATTCATTTCTGAACTTATTATGTGATTCTTCTGGACAGAGTTTTTGATTCCAACTTTTCGGTAATATTCTCTTTAATTCTAGGCACTGGTTTTATACTTAGACTGGACTGCATACCTGCCTAATGGCTCTGTTAAGACAATTTTGAATTTTTGATGTTATTATTATTTTTATACTTAGACAAAGGATTAATATTAGTTAGACATCCACTGGAAAACCTGGGAGTACTGGAAAGCCATTTCATCCTAGTTTGGGACTCACCGACATTACACACCCAGGACCTTCCACTAACAAGCCAAGATCGTCTATCATTCAGCCCCTGCGACTTGATTCACTGACTCATGGCTTATAACTCCCACAATTCGTGATTTTAGCGCGATTACGAGCCATTGTCATTAACGGGTGCATATTGCCGCTGAGTCCTAAACTATGATGAAACAGCTGTCCATTACCCCCCCCCGGTTTTCACTGGTTCTCGAACTGATATCAGTTCGTAGTCTAACTCGAAAAGTAAATCAAATCTTGAAAAGTTATTATTATTGTCGTTTTACAGAACCGCAAAGTTATTCTACAATAATAGTCTTTTACTTTTCTTTGGAGCGTTTCGTCACTGCATGCATCTCAAGGAAGTTTTGTCAGTCACAAAGTAGAACGCAGAGATTGGTTTTCCTCCAGTCAGTTTTGGACGCAGCAGTTCTGAGTCATGGTTGAAAATTCATGTGCACATCAACTCAGTAGGTAGTGCAGGAGTGAAGTTTTCAACTTATGATATTTTCTTACAGTAGACAAAACATCAAAATTTACTGGGATGTATTTTTAAGAGGACATATAAACCAATTTTCCTCCTAAAGATTTAAAAAAGTCACTGGAAGATATTGTTAAATGACTAGAAAAATTTACTAGGACTTCCATGTGATCACTTATTTGTTAACCCAACGTTTCGTACCACTCTATTACCTTAAGATACTGTCAGTAACTATCTGATATGCTGCCTAACCTTTAATGAAGTTACTATTTCTTTAGTGATCTCGTTTTATCTAAAAAATGGTGACTGTTCCCTCCTCTTTTACTTTACCTGCTGACCTCAGTATGTAATAAGGAATGATGTTTGGTGAAGTATATTATATTTCAAAGCTAGATAATTAAGTGATGGAATACACATAGCTTAAATACATTCATGAATAGAAGTACTATGTTTACAAAGAAAAGACCACCATTGTTATCTTTAACCTGCATGCAAGTTTCACAGACCGTTGAGACAATCCGGCTATTGAAAACAATTCATTCCAGTTATCGATATCACCAAAAATAAACTAAAAATTCAAGATGTAGTGTCCGAATTGTCGTAATTCAGTGATTTGCATGCATAATATCACAACAAAATTGAATTTAGGTCCTCTACGCAATATGAAGTTTCCGTACTGAGTTAACTAACGAGATGAAGTCGAATTTACTGTTATTCCGAACTCATATTAATCGATGGAACAGTTATCCCGTTTTTTTATTTAAAAATCTGGAGCAAAATTTAATTTCGTAAACAGCAGTCTGAAGTTTATCGCTGAGTGATTCATCAATGAATCGAACAAAACTTTAACCACAGAAAAAACGGCAAGACTGCAAGCAGTGAACGAGAACTGTTTACTGATTTGGACAGAAAAGCATTTCCTTTAGCATAATGGCAATATAGTGAACAAATATTTGGAACCAGAACCTGTATCGATAACACGATTCGAAATGCTGAAAACTCTCATTTTAAGCAAAAAACATGTGTCATGTTGGTGTGATCACTATCAGAACAAATTTGTGTTGTAAATATTAATTTCTTCTGTACTCACTTTAATGATCAACCTTTTAGTAAGAATAAGTAGATAAGTCCTTTATCTACATAAGTATAAATGTTTATTTTCCAAAAGATAAATATGAAGTATTAGATTGATAAACTACTTACTACATGCATGTAGATATGCAACATAAATGGTATTTCCAGGGCATATACATTTTCCAGCTCCAGGATGACAAACACTGTAATCTACATGTACACAGTCTGAATCCACACGACACGAGAGATCAGTTAGTACTACAATGCAGAAACAGTACAAGGGACTTTAGGCAGCCGGTGTTTACTGGTATTATTACAATAGAGAAACTGACAAAATTGAAATGTTTCATCAAAATAAAATTGGTTGTAGAGTTTATTTTGAACATAGATTTTAAAGTAAAGAAACTCCTGCCTCTTATAAATAATACTTTACAAATAATTTTATCACTTACGTGTACTTAAAACAATAGCAGTCAAACGTCAAACTACGATGAATCGAAGTAACTTTTCAGTCTCCATGATCACTTAAAACTCAGAGTCCATCATCAAGCAATGAAGTAAAGATGCAATGGGCTGTTTGAATTCGCTTTATAATCGTTCTCAATGTATGTTACCATGATGCAGTTTACTGTCATTGTTTTTCTATTCACTATTTTTTTTTATTTACAAAATCATAGCAACAATACCTAGTAGATTGACTTGTTTGAGTTTTTCAAATTTGTGTTCTTTTAATTCTATCATGTGACCAGAGGTTAGAATTAACCTTGTGGAAATTTTTATGAAATATTAATTGAAAAAGATGAGAACGTATGACTACCTGCCTGACATTTACTAAGAATATAACAGTGAAAAACAAGATAGCAATTAAATTTTAACTCGGAATAAATCTACTCGACAAAAGCGACTGAAACATGTGAAGAAATAATAAAGGCAGGAATGTAATAATGTTTACAAATTATAGTAAAAATTTGGTTCAGAGGTTCAAACTACTCGAACGCAAAATGAATATACACAGCACATCGCTATGGTAACGCTTAGTTTATGCTTTCGGTGAAATTGTTGTAAGTAGTTCACTGGGATGTAGTGTAAATTAAAGCACCGAAAGAAGTTGTTATGATCGAAACAGGAGAAATAAAGCAAGATACTGTTGAAGGTATTGAGCTCTGTGAAAATCGTTATTACAGGTTCAGAATGAGTATTTTGACACCACTAAACATTTTGTCTCCGATATTTTCCTTCTATTATGTTTGTTGGAAAATGCACCAGCCTACAGACGAATGTACTCGCGTTATCAGCATAAAAGGCTTGACAGTTCTGTTGAAAAAACGCAGTAAATTTTCGACCAGAAAATACAGAAAACAAATTTATGTAATATACTATCATGTTAAACGACAGACTTTGATAATGTTGACCTTTTTAGGAGAAAAGCTCAATATCAGTAGGGCATTTTGCATAATAAAAGCACGCTTCACAAGATTACAACTTTAGAAACGTGGAGTTTCTTTAAAAACCTTATGCGTACCCTCTCATAGCTTTCAAAAGAATATAAATGAAAACTGAAGAAAACCCAAGATGGATTCATCTTATTTCATGGGTTAGCTTCAGTTACATACAACTAGTAGCATTTAATACGATCTACAATATATATATATATATATATATATATATATTTGAATGAATGAAAGTTAAGATATCGCTTGAGCACTCAGATAACTAAATAATAATCCTGAAATAAGACATAATGAAATACAGGAATCCCGGTATTCAGAAATCAAGATTCTGTATGCTGGAAGTCTATATAAATAAAATTCGGCTTTTTAAAGACTGTAAGGAAGCTTTGTGGGTGACTTATTTTCGGACATTTCTCTAGTAACATTTTATACTACCTAGTTTATTCGCTGAAATTATTGCATTTTCTCTACTGGACAGAGTCTTAACCAGCTCTCATTTATAGCTGATCGGAAATAAGCTGTTAAATTTCAGGTAGAGTTCATTATATGTATATCTGCCAGAAACTCATCTCCTGAGTGAGCCATCTATTCCCCGTTTCAAGCTGATATCCAAAAAGTTTAATCTCCAGAAATTTCCATGCTACAGTGTGGAAGTGATGTCTTCATTTACATTGTTGAGTAGCTCAGGTGAGCATGTAACATGACTCATGTAACTGCATAAAAACAGTGATTCATTTCTGTATGTAATATGTATTTCCCACAATTTTCTTTTTACTTCACTAAGCTGTTGCTACAGTATTTATCACTGGAGGACTGATTCCTGTTAATGAACTAAATTACGACAAAACCGTATCATAACTAGTAATAAATGCTACGGTCCCGTGAAACAGAATCATATTTTGCACCACTGTTTCTTATTACTGTTCTCAGACCTGGAAAGATAAAATAAACTTGATCTAGTAACTATCCACTTAGCAGCCTACTTTTCATCAATGGTATGTTCCGTTTTCCTCGTTGTTGGTATTTTGAAATAATTTAGAGACCCTTCGTACGGATTTCTTGATACTGCTTGTAACTATATCTCGGCTATTAATAAGATCCAGGACTTGATGTTCACCCTTTTCGTTGCTTAACATTTCAAATGAGTCAGCCATTCCACCTTCATCGGTTAAATTTAACTGTTTATATATTTATTCCTTCTTCTTTGGTAGAACTGATAAGTAGATTTTCAAAAGTTTTGCGAACCAGGTCTCAGTTACCAAGGCCATGGAAGAAACTCATGTTGTATGATTTCGAAATTTCCCACTATGGCAATTATAATATCAGTATTTGTGTTTTTATTTTTTAATTTTCAAAACTCTATTAATCTCTTCACATTTACAAGCTATAATTAAAAATCTATTTTGATTTACTGTTAGTTACGCTTATACTGACTTTCATGTTTTCGTCTCTACTATTTCCCATGCTGATAGTTGTATGATGCTTTATTCACTATCCTTTTTGAATTCATTTCAGTCGACCAAATTATACCTGAATAATCATCAAATTTAACATGTCCAGTAATTTCTACATTAACTTATATTTTTAGCATTGATAGATAATCTCTTATGAAGTAGACAAAATACCTCTGCATATTGAAAAGCTAATAAGAAAAGATACGTTATGCAATGCGTTTATTTAATCGCTAGTTCGAACAAATAAATCTATTTAAGAATATCTACGATGTCTAGTGTTGATAAAGTTCTTGTAGAAGCAGGACTAGAAGTACATCCATTTTGAGGTGAGTCTGAGAAGGGGGTTTTCAGTTCTCTAACCTGAGAAGGATATCTATGAAATAACAGCTAGAAAAGTCAATCCCTTTGAAATGGATATAGCACACAAGCCAGTCAGCCCAGTCACTTCATTACATATTGTGCAAAAAACGAAAGATCCAACAGAAAAAGAAGATAGAATTATTACCATTTACAAAATAAATTGTGTGAACTGCAACAGACATTACAGCGATCAAAGTAGGTGTCTTCTTCGAATCAGAACCCAAGAACACAAATTAACTGTGAAGAGACATGATATATATTCTTTCATACCAGTGCATGTAGACAATTACAGACATCAGTTTGATTAGGGTAATGTTAAAATTTTAAACAGAGGAAACACTAAAAGTGCCAGAGAATTTCTAGAAGCCTGTTACTCAAACAAATATGCAATCAACAAACATGTTAATATAGACCAAATCTACCAACTAATGAAAATTAAAGCAAGTGACGAGAAAGTTCAAAATTCAAGTCAAAACAAAAGTGATCAGTACAAATGTAAATCGACTAGCAGTCACGAGGATGGTTACCAGGAGACACAATTCTATTATGGAGAATTTAAATCAGTTCATTTTATGCTAAAACTTGCTGTTAAGATGTTGCCCAGAAGGATGATGAAAACTTAACAATTAAACCAACCAGCTCAAGCAACACATCTGATTGCAAAGAACCAAGTTCAACTAAATTCCAAGAATCTAAACCTTAAAAGGGCCTTTGTGTCGATCCGTGATCCGCAAATGTTAGTTGATGGTCTACTAACGACTCAGTTATGTCCTTCTGTCCTCCAACCTTTCGAAATAACCCATGAAAATTGAAATTACATAACAATATGAAAGGCACTTATACCTCGAACGTAAAAACATTTACCATGTTCATACATATAAACAAGACAAAATTCAAGTGGAATACACTTACGTGTACGACAGACAATCTCATCATTTTCTCTTATCGCCACATAACCCATACGACAAAAGCATTCATCTTTCATCCAATGGCAGACACTATTATGTATACGAGATTCACAATAATCAGCTGACTGACTCTTACAGTTGCCTAGAAACGAAAGGTGATCATTTCTTGCATAATTCATCAGAGAGAATAATAAGCACACAAAGAGAATAGGTATTTGAATAAATACATAAATTAGCATGTCTAGTGTAAATTATAGTACTGTACCCACTAGACATCAGAATATATATATATATATACATGTATTCATATAAATCGAAAAATATTTGGTGGTTAGCTGAAACACGAATCAAAACTCACTGCCAATTATTCCTGTATCTTTATTGATAGGTCTCTAATCAGGTAGAAACAATAATAATAATAATAGCTGCGTCCCACATTTTACTTCTCCTTTTTTGTAAGAATATCTCAACCACTTTATCACTCACCAACCTATTTTTTTGTATCTTTATGCCTATATGCTTGAATATAATAAATAATTGAGTATAATTACCTGGCGTTGTCATCCATATCATTCTTCATATACTTTTATGTCAAAACGCAGAAGAAAATAAAACTACTCAAAGTAACAATTATTTTGTAAACCTTCCTTTGTATAATAATTAATGCTTTTTATACATCCACATACTTACTATGTTATTACAATATTTAATACATAAAGTTAATTACTGTTATGAATCTTACGTCTTCTTCTTCTACCACTAATACTACTACTGTTGCTACCACTACTATTACAAATAATAATCACGTGACTAATATTAATTATAGTTATGATAATTCTGGTATTAGCTTTATCGGTGATTTCTGTCCTTGCATTTCTGCCCTTTTGTTGTTCCGGGACTGACTGATTTCTTTAAAATTCTGAGTTCACTTCATGTTTTTCAGGTATGCAATACTGAAAGTAAATTTGTTATGAGGACATGAAGACTTACATTGAACTTTCAAAGTTAATTCAGACAGAAAATAGTTTCAGCATATGGAACATGTCGTTAGCTAAGATCAGTATATCAAATAAGAAAGTATCTATTACGAAAAGTTTGTTTTCTTCGCATATTTTTCTCTTCCTGTGCAGTATTACTAGTGAACACTTCTAACTCAAGATGGTAGTAGGAATTCTCTAATGTTCATCAAGCTTTGAAATTTCGTCTTTTTCTTCAGTGTATGTGTTTTTGGTACAATAAAATATAAGAAAATTTCAGTCTTGCAAATCTCCATTAGTTTAGTTCAGTAGGCGTTTAAGTCGTGAAAGACATCAAACTAAAGGTTTCACTTACTGTGACCTGTATATTCGTTTTAGTTTCCCGATGTATTACTTTTTTGTTTCATTCTGTATGTCCTAAAGAAATCCGTCTTGCTGAACTCATTATTGCTCCTCATTTTTTGAATCTCCTGTAAAAATACTAACTAACCGTATTCATTTTCTTATGTTTTCATTATACTCATTTTAGATGTTCTCAGGTGACATATGAATGAAAAAATTACACATGTAAACCCACGACTGCCGACATTACGAAAGTCCTTAAAATCAGATACGATTTTCGAGGAACGTTTTCATATTATCAGATAAAACTTTAAAATAACATAAAGGAAGCTCGGCATAAAGACGGGACTGTAAGGCAGCTTAAAAACTGACAGTTCATTCAGCAAAATATGTTTATAGCGATTCATACTGACTAGTCTCATTGACATAAGTTATTACTAATGACCTCAACCGATGGAGAGTGATTTCTCAATGGCCACATTACAGGACTGTTTTATTAATCAGCAGAATTGGATATGATAAGAAAATATAAATCCTAGTGTACAACATACTGTCAGAAAAAGAGATTTTTCAATAAAATAACATTAATGATTGATTAATAGATTCAGCTTTCACTGATTTTAATTTTTAGGTGCCCACCAATATGGTGTTTCTTGATTTCTGTGATTCGGAAGTACTTCCGAATCAGAGACTGTACCACTGATAGATTATCAGTGAAGGTTCATTATGTGCATGAGGTGGTCATCAGGATATAATCTAATAGCTGAAATATTACTGAAAAAATTCACTTTTATGTTTCGTCACAAAAACCGGCAAATAAAATAGTGGGTACTAAAGTGCCAGGTTATACATCTTGTAATCAGAACTGTGGTAAGCTCTTCAAACATCTTAATAACTTCATTAAAGTGACTGGATAAAGTGCTTAACGCCCACAGTTGTAGCCAGTGAATCTGAAAATAAGTTTGTCTCATGACTACAATGCTGAAACTACTGTCCAGTGCTGCATGTGATATGAAATAAAAGTTTCACTGATATGCTTCACGATCTTGCAATAGTTTCCACCTAGCTCTAACAAATTTTTTCTGCGCATCTCGCAAATGAATGTCTTGCACCAAATGATAATAAGTGGAATGTATGGGCTTAGGCGTAACCTTTCTTAAGTTAAAGGAAAAACCTAAAGAAGCAACCAGCGCAGTTGAAACTATGAGTAGTAAATAGTTGATTTTCTTTCCTTACTTCCACTGTATCCTGTCCCCCCCAAAATAATTTACGTAGCTCATAATCAGTATGCAGCTTTTGTCTACTGACATATCTATTTTACCTGATCACATCATGAAGGCGACTACTTTTGTAAACTTATACACAATATTCCTAGGTTCACTACTCCTCTTAAAAGTTAAAATTTCTTACTGTAGCCAGAGAAAAAGTCAACCGAACTAGTTATCTTATGAAAAAAGCACGTCCAGTATTTCCTAAATTTTATGCGCTTTGTCTATTAATAAAAACTAGACAAGTAGTTCAGTTCGGTAAACGCATATTCTTTAGCAGTACAATGATAATTATAAGCAATTCACCAAAAAAACACTCTTTACTGAAATACTTCTTAAGTCTTTTAAATATGATCTTTAGATTCACAGTACTAGTTATCAGAATGTAAGTTTGTATAAGATTTCTATGTTTGATTGCATTAAAAAGTGATTATCATCAGTAGTGAATTCTCTTGTTATTAGATCTAATTTAATCTCAATGTTAAATGTCGTCTGCTTGACCCACCTTAGCAGATCTACGACTGAATTTCATTATACAGTACTCAATAACTGAAAATGAAATGCGACAATACTGTATAGTTAACTGGATCTTAACTTTTTATTTAACAATCCTTAAATTGCTATTGGTGGCGCCTAAAAATAGGATCTGGGACACGCATCGTCTTACTTGCAACTCGTCAATTGGAAGTAATAAAGCATCCGTTTAAGGAGCCTTAAGCAATTAGCTTGATTAACGGGAAGTCATAAACATGAATAAAGATATAATTAGTATAAATTGTTAAGTTATTTTTTCTATGAAATGTTTGACTCTAATAACTATGAAATTCAGAATCTACAACACTTTTATTTTTTAAACACTTACCCGGTTATCATATGTTGGTCTGTAGGTATTTGATTGGTTACAGGTTTAATCACGAGCTGACATCGGCTACAGATTCATTGGAAAGCCAGAGAGTACTGGAGAGCTGTTTCATACAAGTTTGGGACTCTTCACTAGTACTCAGCCACCAGCTTCCCAAACCAGGACCTTTCGATTACAAGGCGAGCTTGTAGACCATTCAGTCATTGGGACCTGATCCAATGGTTCTTTCTTGAATGAGTAAATTATTAGCAAGTATTTAATAGTTTCCTATAGCCTGAATAAGATGACTTAATGGCCAGTGTTTTTATATGCATTTTGACCATAAGCCTGTTCATTCCTAGAAGTAATCATTTCATGAAGGTTAAGATCACTAAGGAGGAATTTTCATCATGTGCCTGGAATAACTTACCAAAAACACACAATACATATTGCACTACATATACAAAGAGAATTTACCCGTCTAAATCCTATGTCTCCATTTTCCCACCTCGTAAAAATAAACATTTTAACCTAAGATTAAGCTGTCACAGACAGAACTGTTGACTATTACCTTATAGATATTTATAAACATTTATGTATAACCCTGTTTGACAGGTTTACACTTGTTATGTGAAATTTTCATAGAATATATATTTGTCAAAACTAATTTTTATTCACTACCCCCTTTGTCAACTTTTGAAGTAGTGTGTCCACTAAGCGCCATACTGTTGAAGAACCTCTAAGCTGGATGTAAGAAGCTTTCACCTTATCCATATATCTGAAACTAAATTTAAGATACGAGTAGCCGCCTTAGGATATTTTTTTTGATTTACAGCTTGATTCCACACTGTATTTTTGGTACAAGTATGGAATTTTCAGCATGGATATCGGTAGCCCAAATTTTGCAGGCCGACCATAGATATCAGGTGTGCGTCGGCGTGAGCTCGAACCCCGGACCATGTGCATGGTCGGCGAGAGTCCTAACCACTGTGCCACCGACGCACAGAAATCGCTCACTGTACGAGTTAAATTTTTCATGAAAAATTATAAATTCAATAGGATTTGAAAAACTAGTCAAACAAAGTATTCACAATGGCGGTTATTTTGAAAACTCACCAATATCAAGATTTTGTTGTCTCTGAACCAAGATTTTTTGAGGTGTATTCCTTTCATCTTCAATATTATCCGACATCCATGGAGAGAATTTTGCAACTGACTTATTATAATGGAAACTAAGCGACAGAATAACACTGTAGAACACCGAAGTGTATCTAAACACTACTCTGTGAGTCAGCATTTTTAGGGTTTAAGGGAATAATTTAAGGAAGTTGATAGAACATTTTAGACCTGTGTATTAATCGCAAAGTTTATTGAGACTTTTGAGATGACAGAATGTTTTGGGTGACTTTTATATCAACCTGCCTCAGGTATTTTTGGTAGGCATTAATTAAATCAATCAACAAGGAAATTTAAAAACTATAAGAAAATTTTGCTTAGGACAAACAGATTATGGTTATAAAAGAAAAGAAAATTACCGCACGATGGAATTACCTGTGACATATGCTACCATATGTTGTGTACATCACATATTTTCTCAACATATAATTCATTGTGCACATCTCCTGTTTGAACATATAAATATCCTATATATATAATATTTAGGCCATTAGGTTGTTAAATTGTTATGGTTACCATACTGTGGAAAAAACAGATGGATATTACCTACTGTATCATTCAGCCACAAGAAGTTAGTAATATCGCCAGAAAATATTGAAGGTAGGTATAATTATAACTCAAAATTTCTGTATCTATTCGATTAGATTGAATTAATTACATGCACCTGGGAGGATGTTTAGTATTTTCCATGAATTGCTGAGCATCTGCGAGGAATGTTGTCATCACTTTTGACTATACATTGTGTGTCGACTCGTATGTCTTCATCGAAATAACAAAATATCTAATGCAAATCATTCATTAACTATTTTTAACTCACCTGAAAATGAGTGACAGTGTAAGGCATTCTAGTAGGCTGTCCAGATGCATTAGAATAAGTCTTTGCAAACTGTATGTGACTCGTCAACTTACATTTTCGAATAGCTTAGGAACACTTATAATACAGCCAATATGTCAGTGGAGAACTGCAGGCATTAAACTAAAAGCTTTCATTTTTATATCAAAAAATGCTGAAAAACATTGGCATTTGGTATTCACATGCAACTGGATGTCTAATCTGTTCAGTCAACGCTTCCCTACCCTAACTCAAACAAAATAATACACCGCATTTTTATAGCCGTAAAAAACAAAAAAAAATTTATTTATTTATTAAATTTCGGTTTCCACAACTAATCAAAAGACAAATCTCGATATACATTCAGTATGCTTGAGTATTTTGGATACTCAGAGAAGCTATCTGGTTGATTTGATAAACTCCTAGTCTGTTCGGTATGCATTTTTTAATGATAAGCATAACGTTATCCCTCTTGCAACAAATAAACTAGTTTGCGTGTAATTCATACGGTGTAAATGACATTAAATTATTTATTTTTGAAAGATCCAGTGATTGGAAAGCACAACCTATCACCTGTCAATATTTCTAGTTATTAGTTGCCTCTTTGAGTCTTTTCTGAATTAAACGAGAACAATATACTGAAAAGAATAATATGCTAACATTTTATCCCATTGATTCACATTTACTGAATACAAATGAAAATAAATGTATTATTAGTTCATCTTATTAATGAATTAATAGATCTGAAGTTAGAGAACATCAGTATTCATACAATTAATACCTGGAAACGTAAATGAAAAAGTACCATATATATATATATATATATAACCAAAAATTCTACAATAAGGAAAGGACTCTAGGCAATAAGTGAAGATATAGAACATCTAAAGCCGATAATCCTGAACCAATTATCGAAGTCAGTTTTTCATACCTGATTGAAACAAGAAAGAAAAAGAACTGAGCAAAGATACAAACATTTTCTTTTGATTAGTTCATCAGCATAGACTGCAAATTAATATATAGATTTGACTTCAAAAAAATGAGACTAAAAGGCCATATAACACAATCCCTGTATGAAACACTAAAACTTGTCCGGACGGCGACACACAAGTTACACGGCATACAAAAGATTCACAAAAAGAGATTCCAACATAGACTGGTCCTCGACAAGTCTAGCTGATCAAACAAATGCACTGCGAAATGGCTCCAGCAACTTTAAGAGCCGTCACATAATAGCGTAAAGGATAAAACTGAAACTGTAGAAAGAAACAACGAATTAAACGTAAGGGATATATACCAGACATCTCTGAATGTATCCTCTTTAATCATCGAAGAACTATTCCTAAACACAGTTGATTACATAGGCAATAAATTGAAAGAGTAAGGCACAGAGACAGGAATTCCTATGCCTTCCCTAAATATATTCTAACGTTTGAATTTAACGCAAATATTTCGTTTAATAAAGAAACGTATAAAAGATCAGATAGTGTTGCCATTAGATCAGTAACAGGCTCAATCATAGTGGACTTTTTCCTGCCTAAACAGGAGAATCATCCAACCGCCAAAAGACGTGAAATATAATCATGATTTCTATCGCCGATATCCCTATGATACATTAACAATTGTGAAGAAAGAAAGTGGCACTAAAGAAATATTGTATAAATTAAATAAAGCACATCCAACCATAACTCTATCCGGTTTTCCGATCACCTACTGGTCAAGCGAACAGACGGAACAATATGTAGACGTCTGCATCGGAAACCTACTTCCACTGCACAATATACTCACTTCCTGAGCTTCCTACTTCTACAATACAACCGTAACCTGGTTGGGTTTCTGGTTCAACGGGCTAGAGTTATCTGTTTATATGAGACGATGAACGGAAAACTCGATAATATTGGTGGTCTACCAAGTAGACATGGATATCCTACTAAATTCATGAAAAAACACGTGAACTAAGAAAGTAAAATGTCTCAGGTGCCCACTGTTTTCAGAAAATCAGTCTTCCTAAGATTACAATTCACGAGTGGTATCAATAGCGAGTTCTTATCGCACCGTCTGAGAAGGGCCTTCAAAACACTTCCAACGCAGCTACGTTATGCTCTATATTCACTAGCCAACTAATACTTAGTTTGAAGAAATGAAATCAAACTGCCCTGTTTCACCTCCTCCATGTGTACTCACCAGTTTAACTGCTCGTGTGGAGCTAGTTACATTGGGCTTACAATCAGGCGAGTTCATCGTCAAACCTCTGAACACCTCCCATCCTGGCTTTCAAAAGTCCGAATATAGCCATACGCAACTAAATACACAATCATCTCGTCGATACTGACTGGACATCAAGTCGACTCTAACAAAGCCTTTAAAGTTGTTTATCATGTTTCACTCAACCTGTCACACGGTCTACAAGTACGACATTTACATACAGCAGAGGCAATTGGAATTCATCTGAACAAGTCAAGTCTGTGTGTTCAAGAGAAGTTTGTACAGTCCTTTTCTTTGCCATGGCCGACTACATAATATGCTTTAAGTTTTGAGAAAAACTTTCCCCTCCCCTTCTCCTTGTAACTATCCCTTGACTTTGTTAGTTTTTACGATTCTAGCTAATTCTGTTAACTTGTTTGCATTTGACGTAATCCTACTGAGTCCTCCTATTCTTCTTAGTCATCATTGCTATTTTACAAATTTCTTGACTGTGTAATGACTTATTGCTGACATCTATGAATTAACTTATCTTGAATGCAATAATTAACAAATCTTCACTCCTCCTTCGAAATTTAGATATTCTGTTGCTAACCTCTGTTAGTTGACCTCTTAACCTCTTAATTTCACCCTTGTTTTATGCCTAAACCTGATTAACTAAAATAACCACTTGATTGGTAAAAATAGAACATTTTGATGTAAAAAAAAACAACTATAAATTAGTGTAGAGCCAGCCGATGATGAAGAACTAATTGAGAAGGAACATATTTCTTCACTCAATCTGTTGTTTTTTCTAAATGCGTAAAAGGGAGGTTGAAAATTCCTAAAACAAGATGCTTAGAAACAAGCAGTTAGACGAATAGCATGTTTAGAAACTATAATTTAAACATTCCTATTATGATAACGATAGAAGACAGTCTAAGCAAATACGTATTTTCGGTAAATTGTCATGAAGCCTAACTGTTTCAGTTTAAAATATTAATGATGAATATTTGAAAGATTATGGACTGATTAATTGAAATAGAATCAATGTTCATGGGTGTGAGTTGCTGGCTAACAATCGTGGTGATCATAATACTGATAAAAAGGATTAATTCACCGAAGCGTTTACACAATCTTGGTAGTCATGAGAGTGTAAAAAGAACCTGTACACTAGTAGGAGTGCAAGAACAAACACTTTCACATATGACTGGATAATATAATAATGCTGATAAATGAATTGTGAAACTAGGATTAAAATATGCAACAGTAGCACAGTACAGATATAGACAATAAAGTTAGCAATATGAGTAAAAATAATATTTACAGTTATCAAGTGTTATGGGGAGAGGTAACTATTCTAAGTTATGCGTGAAGGCCATGGGAGACAGGGGAACTGAACAAACTTTTCCTGAACACAGAGACTGAGTTGGAACTTTATTACGACGACTGACTCATCTTTGCTTTGCAAACGAAGGAGTACAAATCTTGGGAATTGAAGTTACACCATGTATAGAATAGCAGAGGCTGAATTTTATCAATCTTGCAAGCCGTATGCATAAGGTGTGCCATAATGGAACTCTTGATTCACTTTACTACGTGTTAGTTAACGCTTCGGTGAATTAATCCTTTTTATCAGTATTATGATCACCACGATTGTTAGCCAGCAACTCACACCCATGAACGTTGATTCTATTTCAATTAATCAGTCCATAATCTTTCAAATATTCATCATTAATATTTTAAACTGAAACAGTTAGGCTTCATGACAATTTACCGAAAATACGTATTTGCTTAGACTGTCTTCTATCGTTATCATAATAGGAATGTTTAAATTATAGTTTCTAAACATGCTATTCGTCTAACTGCTTGTTTCTAAGCATCTTGTTACATGACATTAACTATTATAATTATTATTATTACATTTATTATTTGTCATCCGTCAAATTTGGATTCGGCTTATTCCATCGCTTGTTTATATTTTCGTAGTAATCATATTTCTTTCATTCGCGAAAAATACCCATTAAGACATTGAAATAAGAACAAACAAGTTCAGCGAAGAGTCTCTTTTCGGCGAATTCATTCTCTTAGCTGTACAGTCGCAAATATATACAATTAATTTTGTGTGTGTGTGCATAAGGTTTGTCAAAATCAAAATCAAAATAACAGTTAGTGTGGGTTATTGGTTATTTTTTGATGATGTAACCAATAACCCACACTAACTGTTATTTTGATTTTGATTTTGACAAACCTTA